AAAAATAATATCTTTTTTTTTTACTTTTTTTATCATAAATATTTTTTATTACTAGTAATCATTTTTTTAATTCTTATCAAACTATAATTTGAACATATTTATTATTTATCACTTTTAGTAAATGATGGATTTTTAACGTTATTTACTAAAATATATTAATATTAAGATGTGGTAAATATATAATATATTTATAAAAATTATATTTTGAATAAAAGACAAAGACTATTTCAGTTACTTCTAAATATAACAAGTTTAAGATTGTATTATAGTTTGAAACAAAGGAAGTATTATTTTAAATATTTCTTAAATTAATTTAATTCATGTTTAATTCAATATTATGGAATTATATATTTAGGATAAATATAATTTCGTGTGAATCTCTTTCAAATTTAATAAATATGAATGTTGATAACATATGGTGCAACAAATGATTATTCGTAAAAGAAAAAAAATCTTTAACAAGTCAATACGTGTTCAAACAAAGTAATCAATAAAAAATCTCTTGTGTAAATGGTGATAGTACATAGACAAAAATTAAGTGAGGTTAGGTTAGTTTTATTGCATTTCCTAATAAACATTTCATATTAGAAGAATGAAAGAATGCAAAGATTTTATATTTTATTCAAATATTACGTTCAATTCTTAACAAAACATCAAGTTTGACTATTTTTACAAATATTACTTCTTGTTCTTGAAAACTCAACAGTCAAATTAATTAAAATGTACATGAGGCATGACTCTATGATGAAGACATAAATGTACATTTATAAATTAATTTATAAATATATAAATTGATTAGTCATATGATTGTTGATTTTGAAACATTTAAAGGATATACAAATTTGGAGTTAAATTTATTAAGTACAAAATATATTATATTTGAAGATAAAATTAAATATTGTTTCGTTTTGAGATTACAATCTAATTTATGCATACTTTTCTATTGAATTTGAAAAGTGATATTACAGCTCAAGATATATAATCACTTAAGTTATGAAATTTCAAGCCATTACGATTAGAATAAAAGTTCACAATTTTTTCTTACTTTGGCCATATAATAAATTATTGAATTAGGCATTGAGATCAATATAAAAAAATGTATATAATTGTATTAGATTTAAAAAAAATTAAGAAAAAACTCATGTATAATTCTGGATATAATTTCTATATCTAACAAATCTAATATAAGCATAAGTAAAAATAAGTGCCATATTACCAAAAACTAAAGGGATTTAGTGGTGACTTTTTCACATCTAATATATCTATGAAAAAAAAAATATATATATATATAATAGATAGATAAATAGATTCCATAAATTTTTATTTGTTTAAAATAAATATTTGAAGTAAAAAAAATGTCACATTTTTTATTAGATCATTATATATTACTATTCAATACATTTCACAAAAGAAAATCTTCATCTATTTTTATTATTTTTTATTAAAATATTTACTTTTATAGATCCTATAATTTGTTCTATCGTATAAACTTTTAAGACATTCAAAACTTTATATATTATAATTATTTATAAAAAGAATTATTTTTTAACACATGAACAAATAAAGACAAAACTTATTATTATGATTTCTAATAATTTTAACATTTTTATTTATCTTATACACAATATATATAAGTATAAAATCAATAAAACTAAGAATCTCAACGTTTTCATCATTCATCAATCTTCTTTTTTTTTTATATGAAAATATGCCCTAATCTCCTATCTCAAAATTTAAAGGAATTTTCATTCATGGTGTAACATATAATTCCAATGATTTATTCAATAATTAATTATCAAATTACTCATTATATTAATAGTGGTAGACAAATTAATTGAATAATCCAAAAGAACTAATCTTAAAACAAATAAATACCTGGAAAGTATAATATGTATATATTAAACACATAAAAGTTTATATTAATTGTCTATTTATCTTTATATGTATAATATGATATTTTGAAAGAAATATATGATGACTATTTCATAATTACTTGTATCATCACAAAATATAATTTAAAAAAAATATTATTTGTGTTGTTTTATACCATTTTTTTTTATATTATAAAAAATTACTCTGTTAGTATAAACCCACACCACGCAGGGCTTGGATCTTATATTTCATCTTTTAATTATAATTTTAATTAATTATAATTTTTATTCAGATGTTGAATAAAAAAGACCCTCTAAATGTAAAGAATGCTGCATATATGTGTCCTACGAGCACACGTGTTGGCGACGGGGTGGACAAAATTGACGTCTCAAAATGATAGAGTTAGTCAGATACGGCGGCTGATCCTCCGGTTAAATGTCTCCACTTTTCCCGTTTTGCCCTTTCCTCATCAATGCTTATTATTATAACCATATCATTCGGTTAATATCAGAGTTTTAATATTTTTAATTACAATATAATATATATTATTTATAATATTATTTGAAAATACTTATAAATTTAGATTTTCAGTCCAATTTGCAAAAAAATGGTCCTCCACATAAGACACTGCTTTATGGCTGGCAACAACTTTTTTCTTGATAACTGTATAAACTTACCCATTGTAAACAACATAGAGAAAAAGGTTCCAACTTGATGAATTATTAAAGTTCAACACTGTCATTGTACAATATGTTATTTCAAATGTTTCATGCGCATAATTTGTCCACTCAGGGATATTTGATGTGGCTCTAAAAAAGTTTTCTTAATAATTTAGGACATAATTTTAATTTTATTTCGATATAATATCTAAAGTTAATTTTTATGTTATTATTTTTAAGATTTAATTTATCATCGTTTTATCTTAAAAAAATTATCAATAAATTAAAAAATATATATAAATTATTATTAAGTTTTACTAAGACTTATAAAAATACAATTTTATATTAAAAATTAGAAATATGAATAAAACAAAACTATATTTTTAACTTTACAGTACCTATAAATCTCAATACAAAATTAAAAAATATAAATAAAATATAATTTTATTTTCAACTCCATAATAAATATAATATTCCGTTTAAATAAGAATATTCATCTATAAATAATATCATTTTCCTTATATAAAAATATAATAAATGAATAGGATTTGGTGTTTGGGGGAACAGTATATATACATAATCACTTCCATCTGAAGTCATTACCTTATCCTCGTCGACCACTTTTTTTTTTTTTTTTCTCTTATTCACTACGTATGTTTCTTATTCTTACTTTTAATTTTAATTCCTGTCGGTGTTTTTTTACACATATTTTTTTTGTTAATATTTGTTAACAAAATTAATAAAAAAATTATAATAACATAAAAATCTTTTAGGTAATGTTTGATTATTATGTTTCTTGAAATGAGACATCAGAATTTAGCTCTACTTAACTTTATCGGAAAACTTGGTCTTACATCTAATTATTAATTAAATACAGTACATTTTTTATTTAATTTATTATTTTACAATATCAAATCTTCATACATTTATAATATGCATAAAATGATTTTATAACATTCATAAATACATTCACACACATTCGTAAATAATTAAATTCAGTTTTTAATTTACTATTACGTAGATGAAATTCATGTCGATTATCATTTTAATTTCGTTATTAGAAAGATAAAGTAAATTTTGATGTTTTTTTTTTTGTATTTTGATAATAAAAACTTTTAGAAAGTAGAGAAAAACTAGTGTTGATACAAAAACCAAATTAGTTTGGTAAATGGGTCTACAGATTGTAATTGAAATAAAAGAATAATAATTGTAAACGGTGTATGCACATTTAATGAAATGTAACAAGTAGGGGGAAAATAAATTGTATTATGACATAGACTTTTGATTAAACTCTGTAGAAGTATTTGAACTTTGTTAATTTCATGGGTAATACTCATCATATTTTTCCATGAAAATTGAGCCAAATATTTTTTATTCTTATCAATTTTTTATTTTATCCATACACTTATGCTATAGTTATTCTATTATCTATTTGAAAATAAAGTAACTAAATACAATACATTTAATATATGGATAAATGAGATACTTGTTTTAGTAGTGAAAATTGATTACTCTTATAAAAAACAAAACAAAACTAAAATACCACATGGTGGTGTGAGTAAGGGTAACTTTTAGGGACAAATTTAGAAGCTTACTTTTTCTTTTCAAATGATTCAAATAGTTTCACTTTTCTCATGTGGTATATTTTTAGAAGCTTACTTTTCTTTTTAAAAATATTCAATTACTTTTTCTCTTCTCTTAAAATTTTGTTTCCTAAGTAACACATTAAAGTAGTTCACAAAATCATGAACATTGCTGAACTTAAAAATTGTAAGCAGTAAGTTAGTTTATAATTCTGAAAATAGTAGTTTGGAGTTTTTTTAGGGTGAGAATCATGTTCTTGTATTCAATTTAATTAGAAACATGGGAAGGAACCCTAGAATTTACTAGGTACTTACAAACAGTGTAGTGATAAAAAGATAAAAAGAAAAGGTGTAATTCCAACCCATCCCACTGATCCTAACAAAATGAATAAGAATAGTATTAGGGGCAACACCAACCATAAGAATAATAATAATAATAATAGAAATAATAAAATAAAATAATAAAAAAATAAAAGCAAAAAGACAGAGACATATGATTTGGATGATGCAGTGACAGGAACACGTCAGAAACCTGTGAGAGAAGAAAGGGGGCAGAGGCAAATTGCAAGAACGCAAAACAAACGAGAGAGAGAGAGAGAGTTGGACAAATTGGTAATTTCGGCCGCCAGAGTATGAAGGAAAGAGAAAGAAAGAAAAAGAAAAGAAAGAAATGTTTGATACGCGTCTCTATGAGGCCCATATTCCATTGCCATTACCGACCTCACAACGCATCGCAACACCTTCAAATCCCCCTCTCCTCTCTCTCGCCCCTCTTCGCAGCCCAAACTTAATCACAACAACTCTTTCTCTCGTCTTTTTTTTCTCTCTCTTTTTTTCTCTCTTCTTTCAAACGCAAAACCCAACCCCGATTTCTTCTTCTTTCTCCATGGCTCAGAAAACCGAGAACGAAGAAACCGACTTCAAGGTTCCCGAAACGATTACTCTCTGCGTTAACAACTGCGGCGTCACCGGGAACCCCGCCACCAACAACATGTGCCAGAAGTGCTTCACCGCCTTCACCGCCTCCACCGCCACAACCTCCGGTGCCATCTCCTCTCCTTCTGCCAGATCCGCTCTCTCCGCGCGTCCTCAGAAGAGATCCTTCCCCGAAGAGCCTTCCTCAACGCCGGATCCTCCCTCCTCCGACCAAAACACGCCTTCCGAGGCCAAACGCGTCGTTAACCGCTGCTCCGGCTGCCGGCGGAAGGTCGGACTCACCGGATTCCGTTGCCGGTGCGGTGAACTCTTCTGCGCCGAACATCGGTATTCCGACCGCCACGACTGTAGCTACGACTACAAAGCCGCCGGTAGAGAAGCCATCGCCAGGGAGAATCCGGTGGTCAGAGCCGCGAAGATCGTCAAAGTCTGAAAAAAAAAAACTAAAAAGGAAGAGAAACCCGAAACGGAATCTCGTCGTTGACCCGGCTCCGCGCGATCGAGTTCGGGTCACGGGTTTTTTTCGCTTTTTTTCTTTTTTCTTTTCAGATTATATATATAGAGACGCAAAAAAAGTAGCAGATGACAGGTTTAAGAGAGCGTGTGAGGTTTAGAGAGAGAGATTGTTGCCGAAAAGATGAAGAAGAATTTATCTGAATTTCTCTGGTGTTCGATCAAACTCAGATCGTTTCATTTTTTTTTATTTTCCTCTTATTTTTACGCTTGTTTTCTTCCCGATTTGATCTTGAAATGATAAATTATTGTGATTTACCATAATTGTTTCCATTCTCGGCTCGTGATCTGATTATTTGCGTGATTTCGATCGAAGAATATTGATTTCGCATTATTGATGTCGGTTCTAACTTTGTTGTGAGGGTGAATTAGTAAAAGTTAAATCTTTCTTTGATTCGAAATTAATCATACACTTGCAATCAATTTTAAGTTTAATCGCGTGATTTGATGTCCACAATTTTGAATTGAATCTAAATTCTTGAACGCGTTGAATTTTCTTGGTAGATCAATTGGTGGGGGAGATGATGATTCTTCTCAGAAATGGGACACGGCGTGGTGGAGTAATTCGGTGGTGTCGATGGGGGTATTCTGGTAATTGGGGAGCACTTTGAAAATGGAATTTTCGGTAACAGCGATAATTGAAAGTGGGGTGGGGTCCACGTGATTTGACATGTGACGATATATTGGTTATGAGATAACGAGTTCGGGTGCGAAATATCGCGGTTTTTTCCTTTACGAAAGTGACTGGTGCCTTTTGTGACCCAATAGAGTATCGCCAGGTGTTTGCTGCATAAAGTTATGTGACGTATGACACAGAATTATATTTTATTTTGTTTTTTGCAAAGGAATATATATTTTTTATTTAATAAAAAATAACATTGAATTTTTATTTTTTGTAGAGGGAGGATATTTATTTGGGATAAGGAGGCTAGTGAATTGCCTAATGGGTTGTATGTAGGTGAAGAAGGGATATTCCGATTTCCTTGTCCTTCAGAATATTTTGAACTTTATTTATCTCTACATGATTATATAAACTATTTATATGTACCTATAAATTATTAACCTATTTCATGTTATAATTAAGGTACAACAAAAAAAGGTCACCTATAGTGAAAAAAAAAATTCAACAATGAGACTTTCTATTGAACAGTGATCATGAAGAAGTTGCCTAATCATTTCATTCCCCGACTGTGACTTAAACGAAGTTGTCCTTTATTGCGGGTTAACATCAATTACCACATGGACCGCTACCTATATAAAAAAAAAGTTATGTTAAAAAAATTGAAGAACTAATTTTCCCAATAAGTAAACAAAAATTCTTTGATATATTTATAGATTCAAAGTAAAAATTCTTAATTTATAAGCTAATAATTTAAAAAAAAAAACATAGAAAAGTATAAAAATTGTCTTAAAGTGGAGAATATTTATTTAGATGTGTGTGGTGGTGGGGATCAAATTTACAGCTCACCTCGTAAAGGATGAAACAAGTTCGTATGTGAGATGATCACGAGGAATATCATTATCCAACGACTATGGTTGGGGGTTGATCATCATTCATTGTTGTGGTGTAAAAAAAATACATCTTTTCAAAAATTATGTATTAATACTTACGATTTATTTATTTATTTAATTTTTTTTTTATAAAACTATAAATTGAGGTAGACCATTTTCTGAATGAAATTTAATTTATGGGAAAAAAAGAAGCATATTAAAAGTGGTGTTGCGACTTTAGGTAACTATGTGTAAAGAAGGACACCCACCTAGGGCAAGGTATTTTATTTTGTCCTTTCATTACTATCAAAGGGCACCCACCAATGAAATTAAAGAATAGAAGTCCCCACTGAAAGGGACATGGAGTGTATTGCAAAATACCAAAATACGGTGTATGCAATAGAATATTCAAATACGTTAACACGCAATTTTTTATTTTCTTACCGTAAAATTAGAAACAACTATGAAGACTGTATATAACTATTTAGTTTCGAGACATTATCACACGAAACTAGGACACTGATTTTTGTTTGATTCTTCAATTTTTCCAAGTTGTTGTTGAATGGACGAATGGAACATCTCTCTACTTTGTGTTCGTGTTAAAATTGCTTGTGTGTAGTGATCCCAATGGAAAATTCTGAAAACTTGGTTTGACTCACGAAGCATATAAATTATTTTACGACATGTGTAGTGTACATGATAGATTTTGCATGAGACTAACATGTTGTTTAGGTTGTTCCATGCAAAAATCATGGGTCATCAGTTACATCCACCAAAATCTATGACGTTCCAACTCTTGTTCTCTCATTTTCCTGAATTTTTTTCCCTTCTCTTTCAAACCTCTCATCGGTCCCATTCCGTTTCATCGTATCGTTGTGGCCCTCTTCTTTCCTCTCTACTCCTTACTCTGAAATCCTCATCTCATGTCTCCTGTTGCAGGGTCATGCATGCCCGAGTGATCAAATCACTGGATTACAGAGATGGGTTTATCGGTGATCAATTAGTTTCGTGTTATCTTAACATGGGGTCCACCCAAGATGCACAGAAGCTGTTTGATGAAATGGACCACAAGGATTCTGTCTCTTGGAACTCTTTGGTTTCTGGGTTTTCTAAAAGAGGAGACCTTGGTAATTGTCTGAGTGTGTTTTCTACAATGATGTCTGAACTGACATTGGAAGTGAATGAGCTTACAATCATATCTGTTATCTCGGCTTGTGCTTCTGCTAAAGCACGGGATGAGGGCTGGTATCTTCATTGTTGTTCACTGAAATTGGGTATGGAGTTGGAGGTGAAGGTTGTTAATGCTCTTATTAACATGTATGGGAAGTTTGGCTGCATTGGCTCTGCTTTCAAGCTGTTTTGGGCAATGCCGGAGCAGAATATGGTGTCATGGAATTCAATGGTGGCTGTTTGGACACAAAATGGAATCCCTAACGAAGCTGTTAATTATTTTAATATGATGAGGGTAAACGGACTTTTTCCCGATGAAGCCACCATGGTGAGCTTGCTTCAAGCCTGTGAAATTTTACCTTTGGCAAGATTGGTTGAGGCCATGCATGGTGTAATCTTCACCTGTGGTCTTAATGAAAATGTAACAATTGCGACTACCCTTTTGAACTTGTATTCAAAGTTAGGGAGATTGAGTGTTTCTCGTAAGGTCTTTGCAGAGATAAGTAAGCCTGATAAAGTGGCATTGACTGCAATGATTGCAGGGTATGCCATGCATGGGCTGGGGAAAAATGCAATAGAATTCTTTGAAAGGTCTGTAAGGCAAGGTGTGGAGCCTGATCATGTTACTTTTACTCATTTGTTAAGTGCTTGTAGTCATTCAGGGCTTGTCGTGGAAGGAAAGTACTATTTCAAAATCATGTCCGTGGTTTACAAAGTTCAACCCCAATTGGATCACTATTCATGTATGGTTGATCTTCTTGGCCGCTGTGGGTTACTCGATGAAGCTCATCAGCTGATAAAGAACATGCCATTAGAGCCAAATTCTGGAGTTTGGGGTGCCCTTCTTGGTGCATGTAGGGTTTATCGTAACATCAATATTGGGAAGGAAGCTGCAGAGAATTTGATTGCATTGAATCCTTCAGACGCTAGAAACTATATCATGCTTTCCAACATTTATTCTGCTGCAGGTCTGTGGAGTGCTGCATCAAAAGTGAGGGCTTTAATGAAGACTAAAGTTCTAACCAGAAGCCCAGGATGCAGCTTTATTGAGCATGGGAATAAAATCCACCGTTTTTTGGTAGACGATTATTCTCACCCTGATTCAGACAAAATACACAAGAAGCTGGAAGAGACAATGAGAAAAATTCAAGAAGTTGGTTTTGTGTCTGAGACTGAATCCATTCTACATGATGTTGATGAAGAGGTGAAAACAGACATGATTAACAAGCACAGTGAGAAGATAGCACTAGCATATGGACTTTTGGTTAGTAATGCTGATAAACCATTAGTTATAGTAAAAAATCTCAGAATATGCCGAGATTGCCATAACACTGCAAAATTTGTCTCACTGGTAGAGAAGCGTACTATCATTATCCGAGATTCAAAGCGATTTCACCACTTTTCTGATGGATTATGCTCTTGTAGCGATTATTGGTAGCGATCGCTTCAGGAGTGTGGCATTGTGTTGGAACAAATATGTATGTCAATTATCAAATTAACGTGTAAATAATTTTGTTTTATAATAAGATTTAAGATATGTTAGAGATTATGAAAATAAAAAAATATTTTTCTTTTAATTTTAATTAACTTTAATCATAAAATTATGATAAATAAGATATTAATAATTTAAATATATATATATATATATATATATATATATATATATATATTATAGACATTTGAACATTATTATTTAACTTATTTAAATGAGGTCTAATGACTAAGTTATTTATTAATTTTAATTTTGAAATAAGGTGTTAGGTGAATGGATATTAAATATAATTAATTATTTAGAAGATTAATGATTATCTGAAATGCTTTACCAATAGTTAATTAGTTTAAAAAACAGAGTTAAAATCTTAGTCACCATAAATTGAAAGAAACAAAAAAAAAGTGTTTTGTTAAGTGTTTGATGATTAATTAATTTATTAGAATTTTAGAGTTATATCGTACTCTAAAATTATTTTAAAATTATACATCGTGAAACAAAATATTATAATTTTTTTATAATAGTTTATAAAAAACATATATATTATTGTATCTTATTTAAATATTGAGGAGTATGGTCAAATATATTTTTTAAATAATATGTTAATTTGCTTAATATATTATTCATTTCATATTAAATCTACATAATAATTATGTACAAACAAATGTGTTGATTTATATTATTTTATGATATTATCTTTAAATATTTCAAAGATTGATTATATATAAAATTTTGAAATTTTTTACATTATATATAATTTAGATATAAAATAAATGTTTATTCCGCAGTATGTTATGAATAGTACTAAATTATTTTCAGAAAAACTCATAAGATCGAAGACGATAATAAACTGCATGTTCATATTTTCATAAACTGCTTAATGTAGTTGATGACGCTACTGATCAAATTTGGTTCACTTGCCAAAAAGTTTGAAAAGAGACTCAACAAGTTTTCTTATATTTATCTTGGTGCATGTAATTGTAAACCCTTTATTGCTCTATATGCATGTAATTATTTATCTTAATATTAACCTATTTTACCACACTTTTTTTCTCTTTACTTTTATTTTAGGTAAACGATTGCTTATGGAAATTCGTGTTGCAATAAATTGGTACGCAAAGTTCGAGTTTTATTTGTTTCTTAATTTAACATTTGTTTAATTATATTTAAACAAGTGGTTTTGTTACTAACATTATGCAAAATATATTTCCTATCTTTAAAACACAACAATCATTTCAATAATATATAAAGAGAGTTCTGAATCATATATTTTAAAATTTTCTACCATTCTTTTTTATTTGGGACGTTGGAGTAACTTTCTGTCCTCAAATAAAAAATTAAGTAAAATCAAATAAATTCATCCGTATATTAAAATCAATTTATACAAATTAAAAAAAATATAAGGATTATTTTAAAAACTAACTTATACAATAAACTAGTTTTAATTAATTTTTTATTTTATTTTCTTAAAAATATTATAAAAAGTTTTTTTCTAATCATCTACTCATATATTATGTGTTAGTTTTCTTTTAATTTTTACTTTTTTCTGAACATATTAAAAATATATATATATATATATATAATATAAATATGAAATAATATTTTTTGTAAAATAGAAATAAAATTAATATACATCAATTTTTTTAAATCAAAATATTTTTAAAATATAAAAAATACTTTCTTTAAGACATGTTTTGAATTATCGTTAACAAATGAAGTTAATTTGTTATATATTTTTTATTTTCTATTTTAAATTTAATAATATTTTAAAATAACTTTTTAATAATTAAAAATAATTATATCTCACATTATTAATTATTTATTTTAAAATAATTATTTATTGTAAATTTTAATTATGTAAATAAAATATTTATTAATTCACTATTGTATATAATTATTTTAAAGTAATTATATATATTAATATATATTATTTCAATCAATTATTAAATAAATTTAATAAAAGTGAGATAATAATATAACACCAATAGTTGATAAATTTTTCTCAAAATTCTACGCCATATTCATCATGCATTTGTAAGTTGAATTTTATTTAAAATTGTATAATCAACCCCATTATCATCATATATTTCTTATTAAGTTTTATTTAAATTATTGTATGATGACACAATTTTTTTTATCTAAGTGTAGTAAATAGTTTTATTTAAATTGTATTATAAAAAAAATACTTTTCCATCATAGCAATATAAAAATTATATTCTAAGAAAAATTAATAATTAAATAAATTATTATATCTATATTTTATTTAAACTATTTTATGTATTATTTTTTCATATATTTATTTTCATTATATATTATTCCGTTGTACACAATATTATATTTAAAAGGTAATTATTAATATTAAAATATATAGTTAATTATCTAAAATGTTTGTGTAAGAAACTTATAAATAGGATTATTTTATTTTTTATATCTCATTTTTATCTTGAAATTTTTTTAATCTTTATTATTATTATTTTTATAACGATTTAGAAATCATAGTATTTTTATATATGGATCTCTATCTTTTGTCAACATTTAGTAGAATTCGACTAACATATTTCAAAGCGATAATCATCTAGATCGACTAATTTGAGTTCATTAATTGATGTTGTTGAAACTATCATTATTGTGATTTTTTAACAAAAATATTTGATGTACACTGTAGAATTTGGTGGAACATATCCTTAATAGAAATAATATGAATCCTAAAGGCATAATCAATAGCCTAAAATCTCACATAGAAGAGTTGTAACTATATCAATAATAAGGTGAATTCATATCTCATAATAAATATCCACCCTAGCGTGAGTTAGTATAAAAGGAAGAAGCATGATGAATTTGTCATAATAATTTTTTTGCCTAGCACGAAAATGTGAAAGAGTACGGGTGACATAACTCACCAAAATATTTGTTTTATATTAGTTTATACAAGATAAAACTAACGTGAAAGGGTGCAACTACTACAACTCGTCAAAATACTTACTTTACATTTATCCATTAATTTTACGTTATATTTAGCTTCACACTACATTTAACTTCATGCTCCATTTAGCTTTGCGTTACATTTAATTATGTGTTACACTGAGTTTTGCGTTACACTAAATTTTGCGCTACACTAAACTCTATGCTAATACAAAAAAGTCTTAGATTACACAATTCACCTTAAAATACAACATATGTTGGCTTATTTACTTAATAGGAGACTAGAACAAAAAAAAAAATAGCTATCATAACATATTAGACACAGCTATCACAACACGTTAATATCACTTAGTGCGATCTAGTATGAAAAAATGAAACATTTGTAGTTCATCAAGTTTATAACAAAAGTTAAATAAGATTGAGTCTTTATAGGTCATCAAGTTTATAACAAAAACTAAAAAAAATTGAACCTAGCTTATCAAGTTTATAGCAAAAGGTAAATAAGATGGAACTCCCGTAACTTATCAAATTTATAGCAAAAACTAAAAATGATGGAGTCTCCATACCTCATCTTAAATAATTATTTTAACTCTATCTTGCATAACAAATAAGTTATTATTTTGGCACATTATTACGTTATAATAATTGTTGGAGTACGTCATTCATATTATAACAATTATTTGATAATGTCGTTACGCTATAACATTTATTTGAGTATACCATGACAATAATATTTCAAAATGTTTAAGTGAAACTTAATTAAATTTTGAATTTGAATACTCATGTACTTGTCTACATTTTCACATATTTCATATATGTTACATTTAACAAAACTATTCTTTTAATTAATCTATTTAAATGCATATTACCGAAATGATACTTAATCAAAATATATAATTATTAAGTTATACATAATATTACTTTTAGAGAGTAATTATTAATATTAAAACATATAATTTATTATCCAAATCCTTATAAGAGGATTATAAATTGATTATTTTACTTTTAATTATATCTTATTTTGATTAAAAAACTACTCTCCTTCTTTATCATTTGGTAAAACTCAACCTAGTATATCTCAAAATAATAGTCCAAACTTACGTATTTGAAGTTATCATTATTATAACTTTCAGGTAATAATGTTACATATTTTTTATTTAAGTGTAATAGATAGTTATACTTGAATTTGAATTTGTGATGGGAAAACAATATTTTATATCATAACAACATAAAAAGTAGTACTTACAATAAATAATAGCAACAGTTTAAATAATTAATGTGATGCACAAATAGAGGTGAAAATGATTTTTTACCATCGTGACTTCATTGAATGATCATATGTTATGAGAGAAAGAAAAGGTTTTTTAAGAATGTGTAACTGATATATTACTTTATTAAAACTCTACAACTAACTAAAATTTGGAAGAAAAATAAAAAACAGAAGACCCAAAAATTATAAAATGGAGAAAGTAGTTAATAGGCTTATCCTGAATTAATTGGTTGTGGCATTGGAAACGCAGATGAATTCACATGCAAAGAGGGCCACTTGGACTGTGAGTGACAGAGCACCTTTTAACATCATTTTTGCTACAAATGATTGGACCAAATTTATGGCATGTCTTTGGTAGAGGGTGTGATGCTACATTCTCCTTTTAACACTGCATTCATTTCTTCCTTCATTATTTTACATCTTACATGGATCCCAATGGCATCAAGACTTGGCTCTTAGTTAATGCATGTGGCCAGGGATAAGAACACCTTCATGTGCCTCCCAATTGGTAGTTGAGATGCATTATTAATCAATCTTCTTGCATTTGGGTATTATTGCCAATATGCATTCTCATGCCAATAACTTTAACCATCAACTTCAAAGGAATCAAATATAAATTACTTTAATTCATCCTAACAAGTTCATATTTTCTCAAAAGACGATTTTCACATCTCCAACAAACAAATTACTCTCCTTTATTAAATACTTGCTTCCTTGGTAATTACATAATCTAAAAACATATATAAATTAAAAACCAACCCATATAAAAAAGTAACGAAATCACTGCCCATATCTTTTACATTATCTAACAGCAACAAATTTCAAATTAACTTGACCTCCCACGAAAACATGAATTTGTTCCTTAAAACCCTTGTCCTGTCGTGCACGTGACTGCGTCAACGTCACTTTGTTTTTTGTCTTTTTCGCTAGAACATTATATTACACCACTTAAAAACAACGACAACCAAGAAAAATTACTATTATACCAAAATTCACACTTGCCTTCATCGTTTCATAAAGTGGAAATCATAATCGAATCGGGTACTTATTCGGGTCACCCACTATATCTAGCAAGTCTTTAACGGGTTCCCACACAAGCAATCGTTGTAACTAAACGACGACGCTTCAAGGTGATCAAAGGGTTCACCTAGAGGAATGGATCCGCACAAATGGTTATGACTAAGATCCAGATGCCCGATATACTTCGCGGACGCCAACGAACCGGGTACCCGACCCTTTAAATTGTTATACGACAAATCCAAAGCCATGAAATACGAGTGTGACCCGAATACATCCGGTATGGACCCTTCAAACCCGTTTCGACTAAGGTTCAAGATACCCATTCCCCCGTTACTCAACAAACTCTCGGGTATTAAACCCTTGAAAGAGTTACTATCCAAATTGAGCGTGGAAAGAACCGGCATTTTTCCAAGCTCATACGGAACCGAACCGGTCAACCGGTTCATGGAAAGGTCCAAGTCGGCGAGCCGGTAAATCTTGGAAATTGAAACCGGAATCGAACCGGTTAGCTGGTTCCGGTTCAGCAACGCTCGACTCAGCATTGCAAGGTTCCCAAAATCATGGGGAATCTCGCCGTTGAGACGGTTGTTGCTGAGGTCGAGGTGTTTGAGTGAGGCAAGTTGGGTGATTGAGGGTGGAATTTTGCCGGTGAGGGCGTTGTCGGCGAGGTTGAGGACGGTTAGTCGGTTGAGTTTGCCGATGTCGGAGGGGATCTCGCCGGAGAGTTTGTTTCCGATAAGGTCGAGGATGCGGAGGGAGGAGAGGTCGGCAATGCAGGTGGGGATCTCGCCGGAGATGTCTTTCCAGTCGGCGACGACGAGGGTGGTGAGAGTGCCGATGCCGCAAATCGCCGGCGAGAGTTTCCCGGTCATGTAGCCGGAGCGGCCGGATTTCTCGAAGATTGGGTCCTCGGACTCGCCACGGAGGTTGACGTCGGTGACGCGGCCGGTGGCGGCGTCGCAGCTGACACCGTACCAGTTGAGGCAGCAGTTGGACCCCTTCCAAGAGTTGAAGAGGCCAAGGTAGGGCTCATTCAGCCCCTGACGGAAGCCCAGAAGTGCTTTCCTGTCCGACAGCGAGCAACCGCTGGCGGCGGTAACTGCGGCGGCGAGAATGGCCAATGCTAAAAAGCGGAACGAGTGCAGAGCCATTGAGTGTGTTATTTTTTTTTTCAGTGTTCGAACGAGTTTTGTTATATATATAGGTGAGTAGTGACGAAATTGCCCCTTGTGTAGTGGTGCTATTACAGTCGGTGGTGAGTGTGGTTTTTCTCTTTTGGGAGTGTTGAGTATCACACTTTCACTGCAATGCACATGCTATTGCTTGGGGTATGACATGGTGGGGTTGGGCTTCATGCTTCTTTTATTTGTGTCCAATTATTGGGGTTTTCTACTTTTATTTTTAGTAAAATTGATATTTTACAAATGTAACGTTGAATTGAATGATTTTAGACTATTGTTGTTGAATATGCTTGATTTAATTGGTTGTTGAATACATTTTAAGATTTAACAGGGAATAGATATTAGTTCAACTTTCTCTTAGCTCTTATGACATAAAAATTATTTATGTAAATTTATATTTTTCTTTTCTAGAAATAATATTGTATTTTTTTTATTCATTATGATGATCCAATAATATCTTCAAATAAGATTTGTATATAGTAATCAATTTATGTTAAAGATTGAGAAATTCTCATAAACAAAACACTCGAATAATTTATATTAAAGAATATGATAGAATATCTAACTAAAAACTTTAAAATAGTAACTTATAAAATTTTTCACTTATGAGTTAATGAAAATTTTCCTTCAAGATTGACCAAAATACTTGTTAAGATAAGGAAGTGTGATAAAATTTTAGGTTTATTATATGTTTTATTATTCATATACTTACAATGAAATTCATTTATATTTCATTAAGAATTTTTTGTTATGAAAAAAAAGTACAAATAGAGTATATATATAACTCCATAAAACATAAAAAAAAAAATATGTCATAACTAAAAATAATACAAAAAGAGAAAAAACAGAATTTATTACAGGAAAACAATTATGCTAATAATATGATATCATTATAATATATGATTTTGTTGAGTTGAGTTAAGTACCGTATAATTTCTAAGATTTACTCCATTTGAGATTTTGACTCATATTTAAATAATTGATTCTCAATAATCTCTCTCAATTGTAATTATCTTTTATATTGGTATACATTTCTCAAGCAAAAATATATGTTCTTAATTATGAGTATATATTAATAATATTACTTATTTTATTGTTTAATTCAATGAGTTCCACTTGTCTAAATTAGTCATTACACAAGTCATTGGTTCGTTGAATATTTCCAAAAAAGAGTAAATAATAGAAAATTCTCACTAATAAATCATAAACCAATCCTATTAGAAAATATGATTTTGTTCAATATACTCAATTATAATTTTTTTTCACTTATAGTAAATTTTTACTTTTTCTATTCATATATATATATATATATATATATATATATTCAATGAAGAAATTTTAATTTTTATTTGTATTTTCAAGAAAAGGGTAAGGTTAAAAAGGATATTTTCAACTAAATTTTTAATATAGATTATTTAAAAATAAATTAAATATTTTATTACGAGTCTCATATAAATTATCTAAAATTTATTTAGAATTATTTATATAAATATTTTTCTTTTAATTTTAATTTTTTTTTCACTTTTAAACCACTTAAACGTAGAATTCATGATAAAATATTTTATTTGATTTCTAAATAATTATTATTAGCAAATTTATATATGTTCTAAATGACAAGGGATTCTTCTATTTCTATACACATGAAACTCCAAATTCCACCGAGATCATTACTTTCATTGCCTTGTCAATGGGACCTTCTTCGATTGAGTTCATGCATTTGTCTCTCACAAATAATCTATTCTTCATTTTTTTTTCTTTATCAAAGAATATATTTTATTTATCTCAGACACTAATTTTTCTCGTAAATTTGATAAGAATCTGAATTAAGTTTTCTAAATTATTAGGAATCAAAAGTGGAACTCTAATGGTTAAAAAATTACGAGTGTCTCGTCACCAATATTAACTTAAATGATTTTAGTGGTCCGTTATAATAATTTGTTTGATTTAATTTTATTTAATAATTATAGTTTAAAAATTATTTAATTAAATATAATGAGATTAATTCTAAAATAGTTTTTACAAACTAAAAAATTAAAATTGTTTTTAAAAATAATAAATAAATATGTCATTAATCGATATAGTTGATAAATCATCAACTCATTTTTTTTGTCCTATGAATGAAAGATCGTTTCCTCAAAGAGTGTTCTTAAATCGTAATAATAAATTGATTAGTATCACATATATCTTAGGAAATTTCATATTTTTGCTTCAATATTAAAACTTAATTTGAGTTATTAACTCATTTTGAATGGGTGTAATATATTGTAGTTTTAGTTTTAGTTTTTTTTTAATAGACATTGGATATACACCAAGTTCTAATTTCATTTATAAATTGAGATAACTATTGTTTACAACATCTTTTCACTTATCGAGCTTATTTTTTCTATTTTTCTCTCTTGTCAGTATTTTCGAAACAAGTTCTTTTGGAACATGTTATAAGGAGTTAGGGCAAGAATGAAGAATGGGAACATGGTCCAACATGAACATGGTTGGGTCGAACTTCCACGTTCCAAAGTTCTAAAGTTGGATTAATGGTCCTGATTCATGAGCCATAAATCCAAAAGGATAAAGGTTAATGACTTCATGGTCCTCATAATGGAACTTAACTGAGTACTAAGATCATGACTCATTTGAGGCAATGTCGTTGTGTTTTGGACATTTTTAAAGTTTTCATGTGCAAGAGACCCAATACACTCCCATTGTTCAAAGAACATGAGATCTGAGGTTGGTGTGTGTGGAATTGATTGAAGCTCGTGACCTTTTTACATTACTTTTTTTAATCTTGATATCAATACGGATTATTCATCACCAAATGTAATGATTAATACTATTGATGTAGATTATTATTGATAAAGAACATTACGCAGATATATGGACTATATAAAAATCTAAAAATGTGATTCTTTATCCCTTCTATTCCCAATATTCCACTGAATCAATGGGAAGTTGAAAATGTTCAATTAATCCTCCACAATAAATGCAACAACTATTTAGATTACAATAATATTACAGGTGGATTGGTGCAAAACAATTTTAATACATAATCTCCACAAAATCTAGTAAGTTGTATGCATGGAATCAGGTGCAGGTTTGGGATTAACTGACTTCAAAGTTTGAAACACACTTCCATCTCAGTTAACCAGGAAAATGGAACCAAGCCCCTTGTGTTGAATTAAATGTTTATGATAATCAAGCAAAAATGTCTTCAGCAATAAATGATTCCTCAGTAGTATCAATATAGCTTTCTGAAGGTACCTGAAGTGACTCATAGTTTAGTTGTCTAGAAGCTTCATACAAAGCTATGCCAACACTTACAGACAGATTCAAACATCTGACATAAGTCTCAACCATTGGGATTTTGATAGTCCCACCACCAAATGGTTCATTTTTGCAGTCTAACAAGGCTTCAGGAGGCAGGCCACTTGTTTCAGAACCAAACAAAAGATAGTCACCTTTTCTGTAGGAAAACTCCTGTGGGGTAAGAAGGAACCACAATTATAGACACGTTCAGTTTACTTATATTGCATTTTTTATGCAAGGCACACACTACTTCTAATACATAATAATAAGTAACCTTCCACATTTGAACCTATAATTCTATATACTGCCATTTAACCCGGCAAGCAAATGTTGAACCAGATCGTATACTAAACAAAATTTGGAAACCTTAACATAATTTTAGTAGAATACTGCATGAGGTGTTGGAAGAACACTTAATTCTTACATGCTCTTACATAGTTAAATACCCTCACCAATTCTAATATCCTCAGGATACAGTGTAGATTTATTTTCTACTAAAATTTAATGACATTTCAGTATCAGTCTTCGGTACTGACATTTATTATCTCCTTTTAAATGGCAATACCGTGGTTCTGTTCCCAGGTTTCTTATTAGTTGTTGACAATATAGATAGGAAGGTTGCTATGGGGATTCCAAATTTGTAATTTGTTTCTCCAATCAACTTGTTAATTCTGGGTTTGAAATGTATAAAGAGAAACTAACGATAAAAGAAGAAATTCATCATAAGGAGAAGACCTTCGGAGATGTAATGAGGTAACAAACATCGAGCATCAACAGGAGAAAAACTGTAATTAGAGAGACTATGCTATTAAAATTAATGGTGGTCAACTCACAGAATGAATTTTTGTTCCCCTCTTTGTAAAAGCTAGCAACCGCTTTTCACCCTCCTGTACCAAACAATGGTAACATGTCATATGTGGAGTCAAAGGAGATGATCATATATTGAATTTATCTAAATGGTAATTACCTGTTGTTTAAAATAATCATGAAAATATCCCCAGGAATCATGAACTTTAACAACCACATATCTGCAATATCATGTTAATAATGGAAAACAAATAAAAAGCAACAAAGCAATTATGTCAATTTTATTGCAGTTTTTATATTGATTTTAGACAAAACAATATTAGATCAGTTAAAACTACTAGACGCGTAATACTTGAAAAGCATCACACATCATTCAGACAAATACAAGCTTTAGAGGAGTTAAAAGCTGAATCAGCACTTAATTTAAAATAAACAATGATAGACAATTTCATACTACCATGTGTATGGTAGAAGAGTTGGTCTAGAATAGCTGGGGAGATGCTGAATGAGAAAAAAAAATTAAAATTTCAAAAAGCATAAATCCATGGATACGGCCAGTAATCCAAACCAGCACGCTTTAGTTTAGTATCATCCACCTGAAATCCTAATGGCTGAAAAGATACATATATACAAAGCCTATCATTAGTATTTTGCTACAAACACAAAAAAAAATAGAGGCAATCTTGTGATCAAATGTAAGAAGTGTTTAGAAATAGAAAGCAAAACTCACCCCAACTAGGTGTAATCCAACATTTGACGCTGCACATGTTCTAGCAATGCACCCTGTGTTTCCTGGAATCTACCAAGGACAGTATAAATCCCAGAACAACCTTCAGTAATTAAAATTATAATTTAATTCTAACTCTAAGCTAAAAAAATATGTTTACTGAGGCGAATTTTATTTCAGAGGTTTAACTGCCTTACCTACTTACAGCGATTTGAACTTTAGTATTCTCTGAAATTAAAACGCAGAATACTTGTTCCATTCCAACATTAACCATTTTGTTCCTTTTATCATCATTATCATATTGAAGTTAATAATTATTGCCCTATCACAATATTCTCAACAGATGTATTAAATTGAAAATTAGGTGATAGATCACAGATCATTATTTTCTTATCTGTTGGTCATTTTCTTAAATGTTGGTCATTCTTTTGAATGCCAGCCACATTGTCAGGGGATGACCTAAACCAGTCTTTCTTGTAAAATATAGGTGGTGTTGTTTGGATATAAGAGAAAAGATGCATAAGAAAATATCAGTATTACTGAATCAGAATAAAAAATATCAGTATTATTGAATCAGATGGTGCTTAAAGTTCATACAGTGAAGAAATTCCTCTTGAGAAAGATTTTTCCTAATGTTTCATATCTCAGGCATAACCCTAGAACTCCCATACTCTCTCCCTATAACCCCATGCTCGGCAAAATAACTATCTGCCACTTCCACAACATTGAAATTATCCAAAACTGATTAACAAAGATAATATAGTGATGATCTCTCCAAGAAGACGTGCCTACTCTGGCCTATGTATATGCCAGATTAACAAGCCTAACCTCCCTCACATGCTACCACCACTGCTGTAACCAACCCGGACGCACCTACATTCTCTCTGTAACAAACAATAACATACAAATACATTCTCTTTGTAACTAACAACCTAGATAGTGATGAAATAGAAGCATATTCCGTTCCAATTGCCCCAGTTGTCGGGAAGCATATTCCAATCATATAAGTTGGTTTTGTAAAGTTAAGTATGCTAAGAGAGGTTATTGAACATTGATAAATCATCAACAACATAAATTATAGTGAAATCAAAGTATACAAGTGAAGGACAACTCTTACCTAATAATTTGATTTTGTAAGATTGAGTTAAGTTCAAACCCAAATTCTAAGATGATATCAAAACTTATATTAGTGATTGTTGTTTAGTCTATTGATTATCCAGTGTTGGACCGCAATCAAACCACCTATATGTTTCTAGTCCTACCATTTCATATTCGAGATGTTTAGTCTTTAACACAAGAGTGGTATATATGGTCAAACTAAAATCTCAACTTATAAGTTTTAAAAGGTTGTTAAAAGGCTAAAATCCAAATCATAAGGATTGACTGATGAATTCAATTCAGTAATCTGCATTATACTATGTTTATTGTTGAAGCTTCATCTCTAACATTCAATAATCTCTTCTTCAAGCAAAATGGATTGACATTAATTACCAAATGCTAGTAGCAAAGGTTGCTCCAAAACAAAACCAACTTGCATAAACAGCTACCACTAAATGTCATCTTTAATTTTATTTAATTTTTATAAAGTTTTGGGATTAACTTAATGCTTTAGTAAATGCATATCTTCAAAATTCAAAAACTGACAGAAAGGAACAGTTACACAAGAAACAAAACAAAAAAACAATAAATTGAATAAAAAAACACACCAAGGAAATGTTGTTGTTACCTGAGGGGACACGAGCACGACCTGAAGATACTTGGAACGTGATGCTTCATTCACTGCCTCTCCAACGCCATGAGGCAAAGCACTTTCCTTGCTCACGACCTTAGCTGACCCATCTGTAAAACAAGAACACAATCAACATTGGAATAACAAAATACAAATTACCCACAAATAAAAATAATGGAAGAGAGAAAAAAATGTGAAATTACTGAGAGAACAATGGGGGACGAAGCGACTTGAGGAAGAGGAAGAAGTAAGAAAAGGTTTGAAATGAAAGAAATTGAATTGACAAAAGGGAGATAATTTAGACGATGGAAAGGGAAAAAGGGTTGGAATGTGGAGGGATTTTAGGGCAGTGATGTCCATTGTTCCTCCCTCTTTGCTTCTTTCTCTTCTATCCGTTGCAGATTAAGCAATGGAATACAAATGTGTAGTTTTGTTCTGTACTGTTGTTATATAAAATTAGAGAAAAAAAAAAGTACTTATGTTTTTTAAAATAAAAATAAATAAATAAAAATGATGATGATGTTAATTTGTTAGAAAATGGATAAATTTAATTCTTTTTAACAAAAAATGAGTGAGGTAGTTTTTCAACTCAGACTTTGACTGAATATAAGTCAATGAAAAATTCATAATTTAAGTTTTGTTAGAAACTAGATTAAAAATATTCAAAATAAACTATGGAATCACTAAAAGATAATTAAAACAAACATATATAACTTATTATTTTAGATTTCAATTCATATTTTAAATGAAGTTTAATTTTATAACATATAAAGTAGAACAAAAAAAATTGCATATCATTTTCCATTTTTAATACAAATTTGTTACAATGGTTAGAAGAAAAAAGTGACACTACTGGACTCATCATATACAAAAAAAAAGTTAAAATTTTCATATATATATTTTTTTAAGTTTCATTTGAACTTCTCTTATAATTAAAATTTAAATATTAATGATTCCCTATTTTAAATTTATTTCTTTGATTTTTGTTTATGTATTTGGTGTTGATGAAAAATGTCATCCAGCCATCTACCTTACAAATCAATAATTAAATATAATTTTAATATACACTTTGTGAGAGAAGTATACCTTATAAAAATAAATTATCGTTATTTAAAAAAAATCAAAATTAGTTTTATTAGTATATAATAGTTTAATACAAATAAAATAATTAGTTCATAATTGATTCCACATAAGATAGAATCTTAACTAAAACTTAAATCAAATCCACATTTTTATAAGATGACCCCTCGAATTTTCTATATTTCCACACCAATTATTAAGAATATTTTGAAGATATTAATAAAGAAACAGAAATAATTTTATTATATTAAAATTTACAAATATTTGATTTTGCCCCTGGTCCTCTGTAGACTCTTTCATATATAAACGAAAGACACGAGACCGCTACCCATTTCGCTAGGTTTGTACAGCGTTTGGGGTGAAAAGTTCAGCCTTTTCCGATTTGCATCAAATTCCACACAAAACAGCATCGTTTGGTCAGTCCTCTTTGCTTCTGCTTCTAATCTACGGTTTTCTCTTTCTCAACTTTTTTTATCTTCAATGTATGCGGGTCGATTTAAAGGGATTTGGGGGTTATTGGAATTGAACTCAGAATTAGGGTTTTCCTTCTGGAAAAATTGATTGTGAATCGATTCTATTAGGCTGTGTTGTGGGGTTTTTGATTCGTTGTGTTTTTCATTATCGGGAATGTTTTTCGATTGAATCAATCCCTCAATAGCATAAAATCAATCCGTTGTTGTTTTATCTCTCACATGTAATGGATAGCCCCAAAAAAAAATTGTTTCTTTTTGTCATTTTGTTATGCGTGACTTAGGTTGTTGTATGTTCCTGTGGATCGGTGGCAAAGTTGTAATTGGTGTGTCAGTGTTTTGTTTCTGTTCCGTTGTAGGGATTCATATGTTCTGTCCCCTATTTTTGTCAATGCTGAAAGTTCTGTGAAAAATATGAACTAACATATGTAATAGAGAAGCTATCATATATAGTGAGCATGTATGTAAGAGGTCAGAAGAGTTAGTCTTGGCCTTACGATTGTATATGAATGGTCAGGTTGTTTTAATATTTTTAATCTTAGCCATCCATTTTAATTATACGTTGTTGATATTTGCTTACCTCACTCTTCCATCTGATTCTTCTTTTGTGCCAGTTCTCCAGTCTAATGAAAAGTAGGTGTGGTTTGGTATTGTTTCCTTCTTTTGAAACCTAGCTTCTTATGAACAAATATTTTTCATTGGAAGGGACCCACTTTGTTTTATCTCTATATTGATGGATTATATTGTTATTCATTCAGTAGAATGTGTTACGTTGTTTAACAATCTGCATGCAAAAATGGCCACTCTTCTATGGGCGGTTATACCTTGTTTTGAATATTTTATGTCTGTGTTTATTGTTCGTGATATAAGTTTTCTCAGTTGAATTTTTCATTCATCTCATTTAGATGTATATCATGTTTGGCTTCAGTTTTTTATTGACAAAAAATGGCTTATATATTAGTTTTCTAAATTAAATTGAACCAAACATGTACTTAAAATCTACCATGTACAAATGTATAAAACAATAACTAGTCAGATTTAAAAGTCAACTGCATCATCTAAAAGGCTTTAAAGGTTGCTTGTCAAACAGTGGATTGCTGTAAACTGCATTGTTTTGCTGTTAGCTAATGGATAAGGGGGTGCCACCTAGCCTCTTCGTCAATGATGGTTCTTTCATGGAGAGGTTCAAGCAACTCCAACAAGAGCAGGGGAAAGGGAAGAATGCCAAATTAGAGGATTCTAAACCAATTAAGATTATTTCAGGGTCTTTGTCTCCCAATCCTTCCATTACCAAAACGTCTGTGGACATGAAGGTTAGTGATACAAGGAAAACATCCCAGTGTGCTTCAGGTGGCAAGCTAGCTTTCAGTTTAAAACAAAAGTCAAAGCTTGTACCACCCCCTGTTAAGTTGAGTGCTGATGAGGATGAAGAAGAAGCAGAAACTGGGTATACTTCAACTGATGCACCTCTAAAACGACAAAAGTTAGGCCAGGATGGCATTGACCAATCATCAAGACAACTTGATGTTGGTAATTACTTCTTAAACTTTCTAGTTTCTACAGATAGTTCACTCATGATTGATTTCCTACTTATTGCAGTTTTAAAGTCGGAATAATCAAATAGCATTTGACTCATAATGCCATGCCTTTATTTGTCTTGCTATTTTTTCATTAATGTCTTTTTATTCGCATATTATGTTCTTTAGTTCATTAATGTGTGCTGAAGAGTTTCTAAGTTTATGCCATTGTGAATATGAATATAATTTTTGCATCTTAATATATCTTAAAGACTAACCTGCCTTCTGATTTTCTCTTCTTCCCTACATTTATTGTTAGTTTTTTCTCTATCCAAATGTATATATCCCAACTTTTTATTAGATACAAAAACTATTCACGAGGCTTTACCTAGCAGCTTTGAGCTTTTGTGCTTGATGATCCTTGACATAGTATCAGAATCTCTAACCAAGTGATCAAGAGATCAGTCCTTGCCAATTATAAATAAAAGTTCAATTTCAGCACATGGTAAGGCAGCCTTTGCATTGTCCATGTGTCAGGCCCCCAGGCCTGTGGTATGGGACATTAGATATAAATAGCATTATGAGCCTTTACCTATGCCTTAAGGAGTGATGGTTATTGACAGTTCTTTCACTGTTTCCCGCTGAATCTTTGAATTATATAATTCTTTTTGCCTTTAATGTGATTGCAACGTAGTTTTCACCTTTAAGATTTTCTGAAAATTTGATTCCTTCCATAAACTCTTCTCACTGTGAGTTAGAGCCAACTTGTTTCAGCTGTTTTCTTGAAAATTTACTTTTTCCAGGCTGTTGAAAAAAAATTTTAAGTATGAATTTTTTACTATTTTGAGAATTATTTTGTGTATCTTAAAAAAAACTGAAATTATTACTACCTTTTAAAATTAAGAAAAATGCTTATATAATTTTTAACCAGAAGGTACAATTTTCTGCTTTTCAAAATCTTCGTGAAAGATAAAATCACTATTTTATACATTCTTAAAACTAATATTTTTCAAACATAAATAAGCGACAGAAAACTTGTTCTGGTTGCTTGGGAGTGGAGGATAGCATTGAAGTAGGAACTTGCCATTTCGCTTGTACTCATCCTTTGGCTTACACAAAGGAAGTAATGGAGGAGTAAGAAGGGTCTAAACCCACTGTTTGGTCAGTCTTTAGCATGTTCAGAACATTCCCCACAGAGATTTAGGTGAAGGAAGATGCCGGTTTTGGCATACAGTTGCAATTACACCATCCCCCCCCTTCCTTTTATCTTCACATGAAAATAGTCATCCTCTACATTTCCTGCGGTTTCATTGTTGAAGAGGTCCTCTCCGTGTATACCTTCTTTGCTCATTAAAGTGGCATGCAGCAAAGAGGAGAAAATGTCTTGAATATTTTTGTCTCATGAATGCAGCTTATTCCCCAAGTACCTATCAAGAAATGGTGTATTGGCAGGCCTGCTACAAGACTAATTTGCATTCCCTTGTTCATGCTCTCGGTATTAATCAGTTTTATAAGTGATATGCAGCACCTCCTTCCCCAAGTGATCCTACAGTGAAGAAAGTTGCTGACAAACTAGCAAGTTTTGTGGCTAAAAATGGAAGGCAATTTGAGGATGTTACACGTCAAAAAAATCCTGGGGATACACCTTTCAAGTAAATGGAGTTAACTTCTAACCTTGTTTATTGATCCTTTATTTATGCTTTGTAATTTATGATTGTGTCTGGTGACCTGCAGATTTTTATTTGATGAGAGATGTGCTGAATACAAGTATTATGAATATCAGCTTGCTCAAGAAGAAAAGGCTCTTGCACAGTCAAGGGAATCACAGGTGCCTCGAAATGGTTAGTAATTCAGTATATTTTCATATTTTAGACAAATTTTTCAATATTTTAAACAAAAATCTTCAGGTATGCTAGTTGCTCTGTATTGATAATTTGATTGATCTTATTTATGTTTGATTTGAGATGATGATATCTTAAAGATTATAAATTAAAATTTTATGGATGTCACATGATAACTTGTAAGACTCAGCTGCAATTGTTTTTTGGAGTTTATATACTGATTTTGTATATTTAATTTGCATGTGATGGTTTTATTCAGGGGGTACAAGCACTTCATCTTCCAAACAGACTAGTGGTCATCAAAGATCATCTCAGCAGCATGCATCCTACCAAATTCCTGCATCTGCTTTATATGAAAGTGCTGACAATCCAAGAGCTTCTGGATCTTCATTTCAAACATCTTCAGTAGGAATCAGTGGTAATTGTTATACAATGTTATATTGATCTACATTTCTTGGTCAATTTGATAAAGTTCAAGGTGTCTTCAAAGGAAATCATAAATTTGTTCCAATGCGTTTCATTTACTCCTGACAGTGTTTAAAGATATCTGAACTATGCATTAACTACTACTATTTGTTATTACTCGTCTGATGGACTTGGTGTGCAACCTATTCTTGTTGCCGTTTCCTTTGTCTATTTATGCTGCAGAAGAACCCAGTGGTTCATCAAATGCTGATTCTTTGGCACTAATGGAGTTCTACATGAAGAAAGCTGCACGGGAAGAAAAGTACAAACAACCGAAGTATTCAAAAGATGAGATGCCCCCTCCTGCTTCTCTTCAAGGTTAACATTGATCTTTACTGGATTTTCTTAGTCAGAATATTATTTAGTTAAAACTGTTATTTTTATGCATTTCTCCTTTTTTATGGAATAATCTATTGATTCCTTTTTTTGGGTGACCGTTACCAGGTAAAAAGGGCCATCACATGGGTGATTTCATCCCTCCAGACGAACTTGAGAAGTTCTTGGCTAGCTGTAATGATGCTGCAGCACAGAAAGCTGCTAAGGAGACTGTGGAGAGAGCCAAGATTCAGGCTGATAATGTGGGCCACAGACTTCTGTCAAAAATGGGTTGGAAAGAAGGTGCCTCCTGTTTTTTCCCTGTCTTATTTTCAAGATCTTGCTATATTTCATTGACGTGTGTCTACAGGCAATACAATTAAACCTTGACTGGTCATTCAACTTGTCAAGACACTGGTAGTTGAACTGATATTATTAATAGTAGTAGTAATAATAAGTAAATAAATAAATCAGGTTTAAAGAACCATAATATTGTAATTTCTTGCACTATAAACAAAAAATTGTAGCCTTTCAACATTCAAAGTACCCACAAAAAGTTCACATTTATGATAATATATAGTTTTAAGTTTCGAAAATACGCAACAATATTCGTTAACAATGACAATATACGTTTGGAGTAAGAAAATGATAAAGGCTTTTAGGTTAGTCCATCTGTTCTCATGGATAAAATCTTAATAACGTTATATTGAACATTTTTAATTGACTTGAAGTGAACTGGTTTCTCTCCAGTAGGCTGGTCTGACTTTTAGAACACTCTCGTTGAAGCATGAGTCAAGCCCTCAATCTTTAAGATGTTTGGCTCAACTTGTCTTTTTTGGCTTAAAAATAAGAACATGGAAAAAAAGTTAAGTCCGATTTTTTTTTTTAGCTTAGAATCTCTTTTAGATTATGGTCGAATAGTTTGTATTTAGGAATAAGTTGCCAAAAGGCTACGAACAATCTAGGAGATGGAGTTCTTTTTGTTTAAGCCATATGTATTTTTTCTTATAGAAAAGTGTTTGGCCTAGCTTATAAGCAATTATTGGCATTACATTATTGTTACATTAAATTTACATTGTTATTCCTTGTCTTAACTTCATTTGTTCCCAGGTGAGGGTCTGGGAGGATCCAGGAAGGGTATTTCGGATCCTATAATGGCAGGTAGTGTTAAGAAGAATAACTTGGGGGTTGGTGCTCAGGAACCTGGGGAGGTGACTTCTGAGGATGACATATACGAGCAGTACAAGAAGCGAATGATGCTCGGTTACCGCTACAGACCCAATCCTCTGGTAAATAATGCCTGGAACCCTTTTTTATTTTTTATATTGAAGTTTCAATGACTTGGGTCACTGTCATGGTATTTTGTTTTGACAAGCCTTGTTTTCATTTTTTAATTATTTATTTTTACAGAACAATCCTCGAAAGGCTTATTACTGAACTTGGCAGCGATCTGCAAGTCTTTTCAGGAAAAGTGAACTTTGACAATGTTGGATGAATTGGTGTGTTGATAGTAGGCTTTTCTTTGTGTGCTGCGCTGGTTCTAGGACTTGGGGAGAAAAGAGGGGGAAGGGTTTAATGTCCGTTACAATCACATTTTTATCCGTCAAAGAATAATGGGTTCATGTTATTTTTACTTGTCAGATGATTTGGAGCATTTTTTTTTATTGCTATTATATCCTGTTAAGTGGTACCAGGGATATTGTGATTTCCCGGAATTTCTTGGATATTGATGATTATCTTATGATATCTTAAACGAGGAACCTGGCTTTATCGTCATGGTCAAAAGATGTTTGATCAAACTGAATACACAACTTCCAAGCTACTACTAATATTTCCTTTCGTATCTTCTACTTTTTAAATTTCATCCTTAATCAAACATTAAAAATAATCTGCCAAACGCATACTTCCCGTTTCAGCAGACAAATGCTCTGCAGATTGATCATGTACAGTTTTGACAAAGTTGCAGAAAATCACAGGTTCTCCCATAAACAAAGGACAAATGCAGAAATGCCTACAAGAACATAAAAGTCAACCCATAATTAGCTGTTTGGACACGTTCAATTGCTAAAATTGTGTAAGCTTAAACTATTAATTTCCGTTTAGACTTAGTTAGAAAACTATATCAAAAGGTATTTGAACACAGGTTTCAATAGTAAGAAATTTCACTCAATTGGCAACTGGGTGAAAACCGTGTTTGAATCTATTGCTATCACTTCTACATATTCCTGAATCCAGACACAAGGCTCAGTGAAATCATGCCAGTGACATGACACTCTCAATGGTCTACTTTATATCCAAAATGTGAATGGGACTTCCCTCAGAAACATATAGCCGACATGCCACGGAAAATCTTTGTCAAAATATGTCTTTCAAATTTGAATGTTCTATGCGCACTCCTGACAAAATCACTCCAATAAAAATATTTGCTTTTTACTTCACAGAATATTATGGTGATTTTGTACGAGTTCCTTGATCCCTCTGATATGGAGAAACATACCAAAATCAAAACCTTTTAATACCCTGTCACTAATTATTTACTCTTTCATACTTAAACATAAGAATAAAATTCATATTCAATATATCGAGATACAAGTAAATTTATATTAATTTATTCATTTTATGCTACAGATTATTGATTGTTTCAAAACAATGACTAACTTCATCGGATCATTAAATGCTCCCAACCAAGTTTAATATCACTATTTTAAACATAAGTACCATTTTCAAAAATATAATCAATAATAGTTTATAAAATATAGTTATTATATAATCCAAAAGCATATAATGAATTAATCTCAATTATATTTATGTTTGGAATGAGAAGTTGGTTGTTTACCTCTATATCTGCATGCATGGTGCTGGGCAACACCCAACAATTGATATTTGTGGAAAATTATTTTGAGATGGATTACAGCTATAACGCGCAAGAGGTAATCGATCTCATGAAATCTTGGCTTTTTCTAATTTTTTATTGCAGAGAAGAACGAGATTCCAGTTATCCAAATTGTGCTTTTCGTCTGCAAACCTAACCTTATCTTTTATCACTCCTTTCTATTGGAGACCAAAGTGAGAAAGAAGTGCAGTGCTGAATTGGTGATTGGTGCAAAATGAAATTAATTACTAAAGACACAAAAAGGCAACAAGATTTGTCTTTTTGGTGCATCCTCAATCATGCTATGTGATTTTGTACCTAATATAGGATCAGGTGAAGTCATTCAAAATTAATAACATGGCATCTTCCATCACACCAGAGAGGGATTGCATATTTATTATATTTGCTGTGAAAAGCTTCTAATCTCACTTACATCTTGTAAATGGTGTTTGTTATAGGATTAATTTGAGTTTCATAAATGTTTCTCTTTCACAATAGCTAATATCATGAATTGAGATAAAAATCCATTTTTAGGTTAATAATGTTTAATGTTAATAACAAAAATTCCCAATTTTAGAAAAGTTTCAAATATATTTCGATATTGAGATCCAATTTACGGTGATAAAAAGGTTACAATCGTCTTTCATACTCATAAATTATTTAATCTTTTTATTTCTGGTTAATATGAAATCTTAATTTATATTTGAATTCTTAATAAAAAAATTAAATATAATTATTTTCGTACTGATACAAATTCTATTTAAACTGAGACATTTTTTAATTACGAGTAATACTCAGATGAGTATTTAAGATCTTTCTTATAAATATAGTGAAACTAACTTGTCTAAAACTTTTATTAAAAACACTTTTGACACAAAAATCATAATATAAAATTTATCACATACTCTAATTATATTCGATTAAAACAGTCATTAAATAAATCATAATATTTTCAACAAAATTAATACCGAAATATGCTCATAGAAATTAACCATATAAAAGTATCATATAATATAGTCAACTTTCTATTTTATTATTATTATTTAATATTAAATTTCAAGTCACTTGTTAATTATTGTTTTCAACTATAAATAATCGATATTACTTAATAAAAGAGAGAAAGAGAAGAAATATCTGACAAAACTGCTTCCTGAAACAGCCATCTTAAAACTGCAAGTTTTTAGGTTTCCTGCTCCTGTTTTGTTATCTTTTTCATAACTTTTTTGTATTTTTCATCTGTTGTTATGTCGACAAGTTGTTTGAGCAACGTGAATTGCATATTTTGGAGTTTTTTTTTTTGATATATTATTTTGGAGGTTACTGCGATTGAAGAGTTTACTTCAGTCAGAGGCATTGCATCTACAAAATTAGTGGCAGCTCATACTCTTTGACTATTTCAGAGCCGTCAAGACTTTCTCCCAAATGCAATTATTCATGCTTCTTCTCCCTCTCTCTCTTCAAAAATCCTAATTTTATTTTTAAACTTATTCTTTTTTATTTATTTTACTATCTTAAAGATGGAATATTTATTAAATAATTTAGTTTAAACATTGTATAGATAGACACCTTAAAATCGTCAGAGTCATAAAAAAACCCAAGAAAATTATAAGTTATAAAAAAAAAAGACATATTACAGAGTGAAAATTCACCTTAAAAAAAAAAGTTTTATTATTTGAAGAAAAAAAAAAAAAGGCAAAGTCGGTTTTTAAAATCAACGCGGACGAAACGAAAGTGAAAGTGTTGGAAAGAGACCAAAGTTTGAAACTTTGAGTGGCAACAAACAAATTTACGTCGGCCATGGAAACTGAGAGCGCAGTGGTTACTTTCGTATCATCAATTTCAACAAAACAAAAAAGTGTTTTTTCTTTTTTACTATCCCAACAAATTGGGAAAAATATTGACTTACAAAAGTGAATATGACAACATTTTTGGATCAAATTAAAGGGTTGGAGGTTTTTATTAGCATATTTTCGTCTTATAAATGTTTAATAAATTGCACTATTTGAGAATTTTAATAAATTTTCAAAGTTGTAAACATTTTAATACTTCAAAATATATATTACCAATAAGTCTTTGTTTTGAGCAGTGTTCAATTCAATTCTCTTTTACAAACTCTGTAGTTCGAATATTGTGGTTAAAAAACTATATTATTTATATATATATTTTTAAATAAAACTGTTTATGTATTATACTTTTATATTATAACAAAAGAGAGTAGATATATCATACACAATTTTATTTTTATAGTTTTATAAACTGTCAACAAAAACTTATTACAATTAGAGAATGAAGAAGGTTGAGCAATTTGAATGTGACAGAGATATTATTCATTGAATTTTTAGAAAACGTGAGAATATATAATTATTCATACTTAAATTCTTTCGTGTATATATATATATATATATATATATATTACTTAAAACCTAATTAAAATATTAACTTTTATACAAAATTTTAATATCTTTGTGTTTAATTTGTATATAGATTATTTTTAATTTGTAAAGAAATTTAATTTAATTTAATTTTTTATAAATTTTTGTAGAGAAACTAGTCTAAAATTTAATACTCCCTCTCTTCGTTATTAAAAATAAGTAATTTGTTCAGAGAATTTTGTTTTAAGTATATGTAATTTGTAAAGCTTAAAAATATACTGTCGTAAAGTTTAAGATTATATTGATTATCTTTTAATTATATTTATTGAAAAGATAAAAAATAAATAATTAAACATAATTTTGAATGGAGACAATATTAAAATAACAAGATATTAATAAAATGATTAAATTTTTTATTGAAAATAATAAAAATTAATATTTATTTTGAAACACGAAAATAAAAATATTCAAAAAAAATTAATAATTTTTTATTTAAAATGATAAAAATTAATGTTTATTTTAATTTTTATAATTGAATTTTAAATTTTGATTTTACATTTAATTAAATATTATATAAATAATTTAAAATGAATAAAAAATAAATAAAATGAAACAAAGAGGTATGTTTGAAGACCCAAGTTGCACCTTAAAGAGTGGTTTGTTCGTTCTTATCCATTTGGCAAGGAGTTGAAGTTAATGAAGAGTTGTGTCTCATTCTTAGCACCTCTCGAAGGAAGGAAACGTGTTCTTATCCATTTTCTTTCTTTTTTTTTTTTTTTTTTCTTTTTTAAGGAGTTGACATTAAAATTATATTTTAAAGTTTTTGATGGTGCCTTGCAACACGAGACAAGCGTGCAATAAATACCAATCCAGGGAATTAGGTTACAAAATAAATTATTATTTTCAGTCAAACCAAGACAACTAATGAATCATAATTCCCTCGCTTTTAAGTAACTCTTTAAGAGATTGAAATTTCAATTATTAGATATTTTGAGTTAAGAGATAATTAATATTATTAGAGTAGGAAATATTTTAGTCAAAATTATAATTATTTTATCTTGTAATTGTGTACTTTTTATATTTTTTATTAATTGGAATATATGTTAAGGAGAGGTTGAAGTTGCAATATGTTAGTCAAACTAAGATTTGCAAGAGTATTAACGCATTTATTCCCTTAAAGAAATAGCAAGAGAAACATATTTTATATATATATTTTGTTTGAATTGAAAAATGGATAAGAGAAAAAAAACTAGTGAAAAAATTTATATTTGATTTGATAAAACAAAAAAAATTAATTAATATAATAAATTATGATAATATCCTTCATTTAAATTTAATAAAAATAAATGTAAATTAAAATTAAAAGATAATTAAATATGAAATAATTATTTTTTAAAATTTAAAATTGTTTAAACAATTCATGTACACATTTTTGTTTCATATACCAACTAAATAAATAAATAAATATATATATATATATATATATAATTATTTAAAAATTAATCATGCATTTTGAATATTATTTTCTGAATATATATTTATTATTGATTTAAATATATATCAAATTACATAAAAAAGGATTTAAAATATTTTATGAAATGTTTCAATCACAACAAAATTGATGATTTTACTTTAAAATATAAAGGACAATTAAGTTAACATTGTGAACTACTTTAAAATATAAAAAAGCCAAATAATTTTTTTTAAAATATATAAAAAAAGAAAAAAATTATAGTTTAACATATTGGTATTATTAATTTCATTTCCTTTTATTTTAGAGAAATGATGAGCAGAAATCTCATTAGTTGTGAGTGTTTGTGTTGTTTTGTCTTCTTCTCCTTTTTTCATTGAACATTTGTGGTTCTCATTCAATGGGGCCCTTCTCCAATCATTCACTTTCTTTTAACCTAAAATCTCCTTTTCACATATACATTTCTCAATTAACAGTTTTAGGTAAAATATTTTTTAGTCCTTTTTTTTTTTTTTGGTTCAAAATAATCTCTCTCTTTTTTCATTATTCTTTCCACCATAATTTTATACAATAATTTCATCTCTCATCCTCACATTCTATGTTAGGTGTAAAATTTGTTTTTAATTTTTCTAATATTTTTAATTTGGTTTTACTCTTTGAATAAAACTATGTCTTGAAAATTTTTAGAGGAATAAAAATTATATTTTACTAAAAATATCATCATTTTCAATATATATATATATATATATATATATATATATATATATTCAAATATTAATAGACTTAAAACATATTTGAATATGTGCACTCAATAAAATTTGACTATTTCACTTATTTATTTAACAATATAATGTTAAAATCTATTTATTCATATTTTTTAGAAAAAAATATTCCAATTATTTGTCATTTACAAAGTTCAAAATAACAACCTTTTTATTCTCTTACTTTTCATATAATTTTTTATTAATTTACTCATTTATAATGAAATGAAAATAAAAAAAGCCAATATAAATATATATATATATATATATATATATATATATATATATATGGTTAAATAAGAAAGAAAAAAATAAAACAAATTTCTAATTATTTTATTAGAATCAAGAAAATATTATATTTTTATTTCTGTAGAAAAGCTTTAATAAAATAATAATGTAATAGAAGTGAGGAGAAGGTAAACGCGCAAGGAATTCGAATATTTTCTATGATTTCTACGTTATACGATGTAACAAACAGGTCTTGTTTCATGGTCCACAAATTTATTTATACATAATCTCTTCAATCTGAATACAAGCAACAAAACCACCCATAGTTTTCAGAAATAAAAAACCCTAACATTTTTTAAACTTATCCCAAAAATTGTACACATTTTCTGTCTGACTAGTAATTTCAATGAAGATTTATTTATTCATTTTTCTAATCAACAATAAAGTTCCAGGTGTGTCCCACATAATTTCTTGCCCAATCTATAGAATAATATCTTTTTAAGGATAACCAACCTCTTCATGTGGTAACCTGTAATGAGTTCTTCACGAAAGGGACAATTTTTTTAAAAAAGGTAGAATCTTTAGGGATAGTGCATGAACATGAGAATTAAGAAAAGTAAAAGCTGGTGTCCTTTCCTTCAACCAAAGAACACCATACAATTCCCCTAATGCTTAGACAAAGGTCAATTGATCCTTAAGCAAATCCTCACTAATCAAATTTTTATTGTAGTGATTCTATTTTAAATGTTAATTGTGTTCATTGAAGAAACTTGAGTATAAAAGATAAAAAGTACTTTTTGAAGAAACTTGGTTATAAAACTTAGCAATTGTTTAGAATCTGTTTGGATTAAATTAAAGTGCTTTTATATACGGAGTAACATTTTTTTTTCTCGAGTTATTTATTGAAAGCCCTAATTTTAAGAAGTAACCAAAGGATACATAAAAGTGACGTAACAGTGCATGCTTCTAAATTAGTACTTAAATTTCGTTGATTTGTTTCATTTTAAGAAATTCGAAAGTCTGATGATAGAAAAGTATGTAATTATCCACTTTCACTATTCAATATGCCAAAGTTGGATCCCAAGACTCTGATTTTCAAGGAGTTTAGTGGTCAACGGCAAGAGAATGAAAAATCATGGTTGCAGTGGACCCTCTTGTGTCATCAAGGTATAATCGTTATATTGTAGAATCTTGAGGGTGATTTCTACAAGAAACTGCATAAATATGTCTGTCACAGGTGCAAGACAAAATAATAATCTTCGTTTTCTACCCTCACAACTCTCTCATTTCTTTCTCTTCTCATCTGTGTTCCTGTCCTGTGTATGCTTTTGAGCTCAGAGCCAGACTCAAGGAGCTGAAAGACCTGAACCTTGGATTTGAATCTGCCAAAATTTGACGTATGCCCTTTATTGCTTTTCAAGATTTTCTAATCTTTCTAGTCCCTAAAACTACTTTGATTGCAGTAGGAACAGAATCCAAGAAAAAATCTCAGCTGAAAAAGTCGTGTCTCATTTACTATTGGTAGATGTTGACCCTTGAAAATGGTTGAGCATGTAGAATTTTCCTTTGGAAGCATAATTTGGGTTGAAAAGTTTCCTTGCTAGCTATTGGATGTAGGAATTGTAGATGATAATTTTCTATTTTCAGTGATTTTCAGGTGATTACAAAGATGAGTGTGATGTATAGTCCTGTTCTCAAGTACTCAGAGATGGAGCTTCAGCTAAGGAAAAACCAAGAAATGGATTCAGGTATTGGACATCCACAACAACACTGTCACCAACCCAATTCTGGACTATTGAGGTACTGTTCTGCTCCAAGCTCATTGTTGGCCAGCCTTATTGATAACAACATTCATGGCTGTGTCAATGAGGAAGCTTTCACAAGTGAGACTCATCAGCATTATATTCCATCCACAAGTTCAGAAATGGACACCATGTTGTCCAAATTGTTACCATCCAACAATGGATGGAGCGATTCAGAAGCTTTGCAAGAATTTGGAGGCAAGCCTGTAAAACAGGAACTAGGGGAATCTGTTCCACAAGGACCACCACAACAGAATGAATACTCTTATGGTGGCTCTCAATTAATTTACCAATCACAGCAAATTCAAGGCTTGCCAAATGGATCTTCCAGTGCTTCTGGCAATGCTTTTGGTGGCTCTTTTGGTGTAGTGAACTCCATGGCCCCAGAGAACCCCATTCAATCTAAAATGGGTGCCAGGAATTACTCCAATCTCTTTAGGCAAAAGAGCTCCCCTGCTGGATTTCTCAATGGTATGCATTTTCTCTTGTTTGCTAGCTGTCTTTTACAGTCTATGGTTTACTAATTTTTCTCATATATGCGAAAAATATGGTATGGAACAAAGTGAAGCATTTTCACCTTGTCTAATCATTCTCACACATTCCTACCTTTTCACCTTGTCTAATCATTCTCAAATCTAGGAATGTGTGAGAAGTTAATCTTAATCATAGATCAAAGTAAATAGTCGATAAGAGATTGAATTAAATACTTGTGTACGGTTGTATTGTCAAAATGCCTTCTCTTACCTCCCATTCAGTTGCATCATAGTAAAAAAGACACTAGTTCTAGTGTTATGGATTATGAATACTTTTCTATTTCTTATAGATCTTGCAGCATTGAGAGAAGTAGGTAGCTTTAAAGCCAATGATGTTTCAAATGGACAGGCTGCTGCATCAACTAGTGGGTTGAATAGCTCTCTTACTTTCTCATCTAGGCCATCTTCAAGCCTGAAACGGATGCCACAAATTGCTGAAAATGGAAATGGAAGCCTAGAAGAAAATTGTGACCAAAGTGGAAACATAGTTAATGAAAATGGTAACTCAAATTTCTACATACCTAGCTTCACCAATGAATTCTGGGAAAGCTCTTCATTCAATGCCCCAAAAACAGAAAGTGATGATGAAATCATGTTTTCCACTTCCAATGGTTTGGAATCTCAGGTACATAACAAAGTTTGTGAATTCACTCTCAACCAATTGAACTTTGAACTTTTCTCCACTGTCGATCACTGAAAATTGGTGTCATCATCAGGAATCAGATTTTAGCTATCAAAATCTTGGTCTGACTCACCATTTGAGCCTACCTAGTACCTCTTCTACTAAGATGTCATCCATAGATAAGTTTCTTCAGATTCAAGGTTCTGTTCCTTGTAAAATTCGAGCCAAAAGAGGCTTTGCCACTCACCCAAGAAGCATTGCAGAGAGGGTAAAATTCTAAACTTCTATCAATTATAAATCTCCAGTCAGTTTGTCACTTTCCATGCTAATAAGACCATGCAACTTAACTGTTTCATTTTTGTTATCCTCAAAGGTAAGAAGAACAAGAATTAGTGAAAGAATCAAGAAATTGCAAGACCTTTTCCCAAAGTCAGAAAAGGTAATTTAACCCTCACAATAACATCACATTTGGTTTTAATTCACATCCTCTTTGAAAATTGTTGTTAACTTGACACTTCTTTCCCTTGGCAGCAAACAAGCACAGCAGATATGTTAGATTTGGCAGTTGAGTACATTAAGGACCTGCAGCAACAAGTCAAGGTACTAGAGAATTACAAATGTTTCAACAGATCCTGAAGAGAATAATGAACACATTAAACTCCACCAAACTCGTGTCTAATTAAATTTCGTTCTCCTCATGCAGGTACTCTCAGATTGTAAGGCAAAGTGCAAATGTACAAGCACTGAGAAGCATTGCACCAGAACTTGTGCCTGAGTTATTTACATGTAGATAGCAAAATTATGGAGGATTTTTTAGTGTGCCAAAGTTAGCAATTGTATTTTAAAATAATGCTGACATTTGCCTGGTGTATGTTTAGATCCAGGTGAACATTTTCCCCTTTTTGATTTTCCTTTCTTTCTCACTTAGTTTCTTCTCCTTCATAGTTTGATTTAGAGCCATAAAGTCCTAGCATGTTTAGTAGAAATCTTGCACCTCTTCATTTTTACTTATGAGTTTTATTGGATTACGGATGGAGTTATGTACACAGACTTCAAGTCCAATGTTTAAATACTGAATTTTATGTGGAGATTTTGAAAGTATAAATTATGATCTTCGATTCAGCTTCCAATATATGGATCATTGAATATTAATAACATAAAACGAAGGTAAGATTAGAACACTTCTCCTAATTAAAACAAATTGAAATTAACTTTTTTATTATTGTTTTTCTTTATACTAGGAATCTCAAAACAATAATCAAAATATTTTTCATTAGAACAATATTGTGTGATGCTCTTGCTCAATGATATGGCGTATGGCATAATGTTAAAAGTATTTTTACTATCGGTATCCTTATATAATGATAAAAAAACAATATAGGAGTCTTATTGGAGCATATCCCTTGGGAAATTCTCTCCCAATATCAATTGTAAATAGTAACGCAGTAAGAATTTAATTCCATTGAAGAGAAACTTTGTGAGATCCACATAATTTTGTTGAACTGTTGTTCTCCCTAATGCTATGCTATATGTTTGATGTTGAGAAGAAGATTAAAAAAACAAGAAAGAAAATAAAATAAAAAAAGTTATTTAATTACAAAGAAATGAGTGGAAAAAATATTTAAATATTTTTTTGGTCCTTCTATTTTTTGCTAAACTTAATTTTGGATCTTATATTTAAAAAATAATTAATTAACCCTCAAACTTATAAAAACATGTTATTTTTATCATTTCTTATATTTAAATTTATCATCTAATAATGATTTTTGAACTTAATTAAAGAGGAAAAAAATAGTTAAAAAAGCTATTTACTTAAAATGATTTTATTTGTTATTCATAATTTAATTATTTATTATTATAATAAAAAGAGTTATATATATTTTTAGTTTGTATATTTCTTATCAAACATAATTTGGATTCTTGTATTTTTTTTAACTTGAATTTGATTCTAATATTAAAAATCAATCTTCAATTTTATGAAAACATGTTATTTTTATCCGTTTTCTATATTTAAATTTAACATTTAATGATAATTTTTTAACATCACATAAGAGAAAAAGATTATTAATTTTAATTTTTCTTTATACCTAAATTAAATATTTAATAATATTTTTGGATTCCTCACAATCCTCACCAGATACCTTGACTTTTGAAATATCAAATGTCTCACTTGATGTAGTTTCCTTGCCCTTGAATCAATAAAAATTATAAAAGTAACAAGTGGAGATATTAAATTTGCATCTAACCCCTTCGCTGAGAAGAATCTCATAAAATCAGGATCAAGCAATTCACAGAAAGAATTGCCAACATTTTATTAAAGATAATAATGTCATGCATTTGATTTGCCTCAATTCAGCAGTAAATTAAATTTGTCAGATACAGGGATTCATTATCAAAATGATAGTTATTACCCTGTATCCCCGAATATATAGTTTATTGAAAAATTATTAGTAATTGACCAGAAGAGAAAATTAAGAATGTACTTGACCACAATCACATTCACTCTTGATGTTTAAATCCTACCAAAAACTAAGGAGCAAATGCCAAAACTAAACAAAATTACTGCTTATCGCTACAGCACTCTTCAGGAGAAAAGCTGAGCAAAGTACCTGGTTAATCCAACCATCCCAAAAAGAATATTTGATCTCAAATATATCTATCACTGCCAACTACCAGAGCTTACAAGTTCAAAATTTTAAGCCCCAGCTTTTGGTTTTGATTTCTGTTTCTTGGCATCCAATGATGATAATCCCTTGCCTAATCCAACTGGAGCTTGCTCTTGCACCGGTATTGTTTGGCCTTTCTTGACATCAGTTGAATCACTTGAAGGAATGCCATTTGTTTCCTTTCCTCCATCTGCATTCCCATTATCCACTGCGTCTGGAGTGGCACCTGAGTTTATAATATTCAAAAGTTGGGTAAGGGGTGGCAAGGCTTGGACTGGAACACCATGGGGACGCACTAACAGGCCCCTTGCTGCAGCCTTCTTCCTGACCTCAGCAGCTGCACGTGCAGCCCTTTCATCGATTCCCCTTCCTCTAGGGAGGGCCTCACCCATTATTGCAGCATTGAGGGATTTGTTTGCGGATGCGCCTGAACTTCCAGATCCCCCAGCAACAGCAGCAGCTTGGAATGCATGAATCAGATCAGGGTGTGCCTGTGATAGTACAAAATCCTTCTTCAATAGGAATTACACACCACAAAAATGACAAAGAAATATAGAATAGAAATCCAATTTGAACAAAGTGTAATAATCTCTAGCATGTTAGGAAGCTTCGATGAAAAAACTAAGATTGTTGCCAACACTTCAGATGTTATAAAAAAGTGGTATATCATAGGGTAGGCTGAATACACAAGATACTCTTAGTATTACCGATATATACTCTATCAGATTATAGTGCATAAAAAGAAGAATATAAGGTACCTTCAGGATATCAATAGCCTTCTGAGCAGAAGCTGCATTCAGAGCTTGACCCTTTTGTTTTTGGGCATTCATCTGTTCAAACAAGTTGTGAAATGTAACACTAATACTGCAATCGAAACACATGCATCATCTAATATGGAAATGGAGATAATGTTACTAGGTAATTTAACCTGTCTGCATTCGTTCACAAAATATAGGAATGCCAATGAATACATAATGATCTTGATACGTTTGCTAACCTTCATAAACATCTCAACCCATCTAACCTATGAGATTCCACTTCTCTCCCTCCTGGCCAATTAAGTCTTCCTGCCATCTACCATTGTCATTCCCAAAGATCTCTCTGACTACCTACTCAGACCCAAAATGCTATCTCCATCTATCTTCTACCCTCCCCTGTTTATAACCTGATATGTTGTGATATATATCCTAATACCCCGTATTACAAATATTAGACTCTTCAATTCTCCAAGTCTTTCTTGAGAAATTCATTTGGAAGTTAAGAGCTTCCAGTAAATTGATGCAATGTGGAAATGTATAATTCCGTGACTCAAGAAGAAAGTGTACAGATACCTGTAGTTCGCGCATTTTGAATGTGTTCATCCAATTCTGCGAATCCCGTGTCCTTGAATCATCTTCACCAAGTTGTTTGACAAGTATATCATACGTTTTCTTCTCATGCTGTCAAACCAAATGCTAAAATCAGTAAACCACTCACGTGACTGCCAGAAGCCAGCTTTACCACCCCACAACACGTACCTGGTGAGAGAGCTTGAAAGCACCCATACAATTAAATGCAATGGCAAGAGCATGATAACAAACAGCAGTTTGAATATGTTCCTCGCCAAGAAGCCTTTCATTCTTCTTTAAAGCTTCTTGCAGATACCGAAGAGCTGTGTTCATCTTTCCTATATCCTGATACATCATCGCAACATTGATAAATGTTGCTGCAACATCCGGATGATCTGGCCCTGATGACAAACTTAATAATAGCAAAGCACGGGACATATGGCGAAGGGCAAGTTCTGTCTGGTTAAGTCCGTGGTAAAACAAAGCCATATTTCCGTAACTGCAACAGGTGAAGATGAAGTCAAAATATGTTCAGTAAATAAAAACTAACATTAACTTGTTGAACAATGACTGTGTGGTTCCAATATAGTTGACACTGGCTTTTAAACTCAGTTAGAGGTCTGAATGACTGTGCCCAGTTCAATCTAGTTATCAAAACCATGCACACATCTCCATTTTCTCTATAACAGGGTATCCCAAGTTTATATTTTTGGCCCATTGTGATTTTTAACATTCCAAAAATACAACACAAAGATATTATGGGAAAGAACAAAGAAGATAAATAGAATTGGGAATGCCTGTGAGCAGTGTCAGGATGATCTAGACCAAGACAACGTTCATTTATGATTAGTTCCTTGTGTTGTTGCATAATAGCCCCGGCCATATCTCCAGCATGATACAAAACCATGGCAAGATATCTGAAATAGAATAGGTTGATAGAGATTAAATACACAACATACAAAAAATTGAATTATAGCAGAAATTTACGAGCAAAGGATACAACTGTTGGCTACAAATCTTCAATTTTACAAGGACTAACAACTGAAAATGATAAACTCAATTCATATTACACAAATAATGACTATAAATCTTCAATATTACAAGGACTGAAATTATCCAGGTCTAATTCAGTACAGCATGGAGAATTGCATATCATGATTAATCCCGGATTTTAAATATAGAAACTTGTAGGATATGCCAAAATGGTAGAAACAGATATTAACATACCGACAGCAATTAGCAACCTCCCGATGCATGGGACCAGTAACCTGCAACACATTCAACAGCTATTATTTTATGCACATTTCATCCAAGAAAGACAAACCAACACAGAATTCCATGCCTGTTGTAGAATCGAGAATGCCTCAGAGAATAAAGTGTAGGCTTCACTAAGCATGCCCTGTAACAAACAATAAATTACACGTTAAAAATATCAGTTGAGAAAATGAAAAAATAAATAAACAGTTAAAGAAAATATCAAGCCACCACGATTAATAAATATGCCAGTGTTGAACACATTTAAGACTTCCATCTTATGAAAGCATAATTACTACTACTCTACGTTAGACCAACGAAATAGCCCACTGGTAACAATGATTACATTTTTGTTAATATTATACTGCTTCACCCAAATGTAATATCATATTTTCAAATCCAGAAATCAAGAATGCCACAGATACCAATCAATAACCTCATAATTACAAAAGGTAAATAGATGTGAATTACTGTATCCAATCTCTTTCAATTGTTTGTTATAGGCAGCACAAAGATCTGCGACAAACTACTTAACTAGCGGCCAACTCCCCATGGATTAAAATGTATACATTAATTCATGTTATGGTACAAAACAAAACAAGGATTGGCAAATACCTCAGCCAATTGAAGTTTTCCAGTTTCAACAAGTTCCTTGGCTTCCGAACAAGAGGGAACTGAATGCTTGACCACCGGACGGATATCCAAGACATCTGATGTATGGAAGGGTGTTGTTGAACTAAGATCATATTTACGAGCTGCAACTGTTATACCAACCTAAAAATAAAGTAAGACAAAGTCCAATTACAATTTTACTAGCAACAAAATTGAAGAGGTTAATGGCGAAACAGTAAATGCACTAAAATCAAAGTGTTCCAACAACTTCTCACATGTATTATCAAGTGCAAACAAGCATTGAACAACTGTATTATAAAATTTGGAGAATCATCACTATGTTTGCAACATGAAAAAGAAAAAAATGTTCATAATGTATCAAGTATTTGTTACATGTATCAAGAAAATACAAGATTAAGATGGGGATATTTTATGTGATATAAAAACTCATCGATACTTGGTACTTTTCACGAGCTTCATGCTATAGGATCTTTCTAAAATTAAAAAAAAAAAAAAAAAAAAAAAAAAAAACCAGATACGCAAAAAATCCATAAAACTATTTACATCACAAACTCAGAACCTGATCTTGTGCTTACCTTCAGAGAAAGATTACGTATAACAGAAATTTTCTTAACGCGCAACCTTGCATCCTCTGGCAATTCAAACTGCAGCAAATTGATTTGAAGTTCAAATGTATATCAACAGAGATACAGGTGTAACAAAGATAGAAACACAAAGCATAAAAAGTGCATTGCTGATTAGATTACATATAATAGAGATTTAATGCGCAAAACAACTGCATAGTACAAGAAGATAGCATTTATTGAGAAACTGAAAGGACTAGGAACAGAATGAATCAAAGACCTTGAACTGAAAAACTGATTAACCATTTACATATTCCAGTGCATCTAGATGGGTAGTTGCAACAGGAAGTAACTAATTGTAACAGTAGGCTAACTAACTAATTACACAGTGCAGTGTCTAATTGTACAATTCATACAATTAGAACAATTTAGTATATAATAACATATAGTCACAACATTAATTAATTCAATTAAATAGTTAACGGGAGACTCTTCCTGCTGTATTGAGCTACATAATTTGATTGGGGAGACCTGTAATTAATTACATCCGCAGAGGTTGTATTTATTTACCAAGAATGGTTTTGCAATATCCAGGTAATGGAAGTCTCTGTAACAGTCACTTTTTAAAAACTTTGGGGGTGACCAAAGAGAAGAAAAAGGATTAAAAAGGCCAGTTAAAAAATACATACAAGAAACTGGTGGCTTTGAAAAACACAGTTTTGAGGGTATATGTACGCAGGCATACCCCTGCATTTACAAAGGAGTCGATTACAGGATTTGAGCACAGCACCTATAGGTCACTACTCAATCCTGCATCCTAACTTTTGTGCCAAGGCTAGCACTCAATCAACTGAAAGCAGCTAAAATAACAAAACATACTTACTTTCAAACTTATTTTAAATGGACAAGAAACACCTATTCAGGTTAGGAAATAGCTGATACCTTATATTTAACCATTGCAAATTCTTGAATGTCTGACCAAAGAGCTTCCGAGCTGAAGCTCATATACAACGGTTGAGTCTTTCTTAATGATGCCCTGCCTTTCCAACGAGCTTGCCCTTTGGAATGTTTTCCTGGAGACCGTTGCCCTGTATGTTCCTGTAGAATAAAAAGCCACGAAAACAAAATGCGGTTTTTACAGCCTAAAAAGACAAGGAAAAGTTCACTGATTGATTTAAGTGATCATAGCACAAAAAAACTAGCAAATTAGGTTGCCGTTACTTTGACAGTTAGCCATAAAAGACATACCTTTTTCAGAGTTTTGGATTGAATGCTGTTGGTGCTAGCCTTTCCACTGGAAGCTTGACAACTTCCAAATAGGCAATTTAAGAAATGAGATACTGCTGGTGCGAGATCATGGTCCTCTGTCTCTCTCAATAAATCCTGCAAATCACAAGCACAATCTTAAATATAATTCATGAATGCAAGTGGATTTTGTGAAAGTTATTTTCATAGTATTTTCTACTCTGAATGATCCATTGTCTCAACATCAAAGTATATCATGTTTCTCATGCTAAAGTAATACATTATAACAGTCAAACAACACAATTCCTTTATCAATTACAACATGAATAAGAGATATGCACAGTCAATCAGGACAAAAGATAAAATATACAATTGTCAAATACTATCAAGCACTCGCAAGTATACAACCATAGTTATCAAATCAGGTTTCAAATCATGAATTGGTAGGCTATTTACAAATCATTAATCATGAAACATGAGATTCATGATCAATAAGTAGAAATAACATAAAATATGTTTTTCCCATAATAGAGCATCAAATACATTTAGATAATAGCATGTTTAACTCAAATAACCCATTATATAGCTAACAAATTGTATTATAAACCTTAAAACAGTACTTAATCAGGCTACGATAGTGACTACCATAATTCGGCCCCTCCAAGAAACCTCACTATTTCCTAGCATAGTAAACCAAGGAAATAAGCTAGGATTTCTTAATAGGTAGGCAACCAAAGCTAGGACACTTCAGAAACTACAAATAGAACATGACTTTTAAAACCCTTAATTGTTCATTTAGACTACTTTAACCCTACAAAATCGTTTTATTTACTGTAATTAATCATCTGCAACACACTCCCACTAGACATATCGAACATGGGACAAGATATTTGCATACAATCCAATGTGGCCTGATAGGCCAAACAAAAATGGCTAACATAGACCTTGATACCATCTTATAATATGGATTAAGACCCAACTCGACCTTACAAAATTAGTATGTACAATCAGGACTACCTCCACTTATATACTCACAAGTTGTGTTCCTTTAATAATGGATTAGAGGTTTGACCCTTCCCTTCGATTTCATTAAAAAAATAGCAAATCAAACCCTGAAAAACAGGCTCTTTATATATAAGAAAAGGGCACCAGGATTTAACCCAGATAGAAAAAAAAACCCACATTTTGGCCCCACATGTAAATGCAATTCTGGCATGATTCAGGCACAATGTTTGCCCCACAAAAGTAAAGGAAGTGCTTAAAGTAAGATAGCTTTTCTCACCTTGATAATATGCTTAGCAGATCTGACAACAATCTCATTGTTGCAAAGATCCCACAGATGAGGAAGATGTTTAGTCCCTTCAGCCACCTTTACAGAAAAATGAGCAATCAGAAGCAATATAAGAATTATCAAAAGTCTATAAGCAAACCGCCAACATATTAAACAGAAGGCAATTCACTTGACAAGCTCTGAAGAATAATTACAACAGCATTATTATTGACTAAAATACATGGTGCTTACTTTGCCAATATAGCGAACATTAATTCCATGAGCATGCAGTGCTTCAGTTAATGTCTGGCCATCCATTGGTGAAACTTCAAGTGTACAAAGGTCTTGTATAAACTTTGGAAGTACAACATCAGTAAGATATTGACTAACTTTTCTAACATTATCTTCATCAGCCGCTATTTCCTGGTGAATGTGATAAAAAACAGTAATGTAAGCATACTGTGCTAAGAGAGCAATGTGATGTTTTCATCACAAGCAATCACTACAGGGAAATAAATAGACAAACACAATGTTTACATAGATGGAAAGTAAATTTGTTAGAAGTCAAAAAGAGAAAATAAGAGGGAAAAAACCTCTGGACTCCCAGCAAGTTTGAATTCAGTGAAGACATTTGGATTAAAAACAATATCCTCGCAACCATCAGAGGTTTTGGCAGTCACAGAAGCAAGTTCTTTGACATCCTCAGTTTTTTCTTCCTTTTTTAAATCCTGCAGAAAGAAAATAAAGGACACGCAAACTTAATCACCAACACCATGTTCCCACCAGCCATAAACTAATAATCAGTCAAATAATTGAAACACGATCCTCTTACCAGAAATGAAAACTTTTAATCATAGCCAAGGGTAGGGTCATATATGTCAAAGTACCCTTTTAAAACAAATTACAACAAGATAAAAAAACAACAATAAATGGGGAGCAAACAAGAATACTCAAACTAATGCTTCTGCTTTTCCATTCCAACAGTAATCTTCAATGTTAGAAATACAGCGCATTGTGTACTAAATGCTCAAATTACTAATGCACAAGTAAAAGAGTGATTTTGGTACTAAATATGAAGCTCAAGCAGGTGTGGTACTTTCTATTCATGAATAGATGTTGGAAACAGGCATTTTGCATATCAGGATGCGTTATTTACTGTATTAGAGTGTACGTGGAATTGCAATTTGCGGCATTAAAAATATTTTGCATGTATTTGGAAAATTGCATTCACATTTACTCTTCTCAAATGTAATTATTTCTGAAATTAATATAAAAGTATTTACTCTTCTCAAATGTAATTATTTCTGAAATTAATATAAAAGTATGGACTGCTGAGTTCAATTTCACTAAAATGGCTTAGATAAAAAAAATACTTCAGCAAAAGTTAGATAAAGACAAGCATGCAATACACTGCTATAATACTTACTGGCTTCTCAGCATCTACAACATTTTGAGAATCATTCACCGGGGTCTCAGCATCAGCAGCAGTTGGGGAATCATTCACCGGCTGGTCAGTATCAGCAGCATTCTGGGAACCAGTGGCTAAATTGTCAGCCTCTTGAGAATTCACCTCCTTAGGTTTCAATGCCTCTGCTGCTTGGGCCTGTTCCCACGAAGAGCCAGTCAGCTATGTAAAATTGGCAATACAAGGAAAACCCCAAAATATCCTTATCATCATAGTGTACTTACCTGGCAAAAGGCAGTAATTAATTCTGGCCTCAAGATACAAAATCGAGAACCAGGCCCAGTATAGTTGGCATCACGAGGAGTTACTCTCAACAAATCAAGAAGGTAATGTCTGATTCGTTTAAAAGAGAGCAAAGCATCAGTTCATTAGCACAACATGCTATATATACAACAATGCAATTTTTAATAAACTTCAATTCTACTTGCATTCAATAACTACAAAAAATATTGGCCGATGAATAATATTGGAAAACGGATTAGTAATGTTAAAATCTAAATCATCCTGCAGTTGAAAATTATGCCATTGAAACTATGCATAAGGAAATCTTCAAACAGCATATCACCAACAAAGTACACAAACTGCAAATAACCAACTAACTCAATAATTACCGGTCATCACCACCAACAATGCCCTTGCACTCCACTGGTGCAGCTAAATTGAAAACATTTCCAGATCCATCAAGGACTAAATGTTCCTTCAAATGAAGGCGTTTGGCAGCCTCTGACACCTAATACATAATAAGAGGATAAAAAACCCATCTAATTTTACAGATAATGCAATTCAAAAAAAAAAAATCCCAACACCAATTAACATAATAAGAGAACAAAACAGTCCATCTTATTTTACAGATCATGCAATTTACAAGTACTTATTTCTATACCCTACCCTAGGCACAAATTATCTTACAATTTAGTTTCACCCAAAGTTTCAGTAGATGCTTAAAATTCAAATCAGATACTCTAACTAAAGTTAAACTGCAGTACCCTTCTTCTTTACCTTAGAATGAAAATCTTCATTCCAGCAAATTTTCTTTCCACTGTCAACAGAGCCATACAAGAGAGAGTCTGACTTGTCCCCTTGAAGAATGCCTGGTAATACACTCTGCAGCACAATGAGAATAAGGATTCAAGTGAAGTGATTGAAATTATACCTCCAGGACCAGAACTTCTTGTTTCAGAAGGTGAATCTATCAAACTTGATCAGCCATTAACAAGTAATCCTAATGTGGGTGGATTTGGTCTTGGGGGTTCAAATTTCAAAGTTAAATTAAAGCAAATTTTAAGTACAAATCCAATACTCATAATCAATCTAAAAGTATAAATAGAAAGCAATTGGGATATCACAAACAATTAGCCAGCACAGTTTACAATACTCGTAAAATATCTGGGCACTAAGAAAAAATATTGAAAATTGGGTGGGATATCACAAACATTTACCCTGCACAGTTTACAATACTCCTAAAATATCTGGGCACTTATAAAAAATATTGAAAATATTAATATGTTGAAAAGAAGATAAAATAATCAGTTCATATAATAATAAAGAAAATAATATACATGTTAAGGTTCCAACATAAAACCAATTGGCAATATATGTTGAAAAGAAGATAAAATAATCAGTTCATATAATAATAAAGAAAATAATATACACATTAAGGTTCCAACATAAAACCAATTGGCAATATATGGAATAGCCTAACATGTATTTAGGCCATACCAAATGACATGAGATAGGCGATGTGAGACTTCCAACACACCCCCTCCAACGAAGTCTGCCGGACCAGGCAAGAGATACTTTGACCCACAACAAAAGGACAACTCTTGGCTCAAGACAATAACCGAAAGATGTTAGGAAAGATGTTAGGTTTTGACTCTGATACCAACTTGAAGTTAAGAAACTAGAAAATATAGTTTTGGAGGCTTGAAACACCCCTCTGAATCATCTTCTATATATAATGAAAAAACTGATACAAGTGCATAGACACCTAGGTACTGCAATAGGACAGCTGGTAGGTGTTTTCCACACACTACCTCCTACTCTGACTTAATGATTGCAGTAGGACAGCTGGTAGGTGTTTCCCACACACTACCTCCTACTCTGACTTAATGATTACATAGATTTAATACCTATTCTAACAATACATAACATCTGTTCATCCTACAAACTAATAGAAATAAGAAATTCAAAAGTCTTTACATGTTTTATAACCATCTTGGCACATTTGAGCATGTCCTAATTCCTTTTTCACCACTTGAAGCTGTTTTGACGAGCTATGATACATTAAGTTGCATTTCAAAATATTTTCAAAACAAAAAATCCGAAGAAAAGGATGGGTCAAAACACCAAACAGCCATATCTTTCTTTTTAGAGAAGCATCATACACCAATAGCAAGATATAAACAGCAACACTTTCATGAGAAAACAGAAAGTGCACCAAACGCAAATTTGAGCTTCAATACAAACCTGAGCTACCACCCTATGACCCCTGTAGTCAATTATAGCCATAGCAAGATTATAAAGTCCAGGAACATCAGCTTCTTGGTAAGCCATTGTGCCCTTCAAATCATTGTTTGCAGAAGCATATGTGGCTTGCTCATTCTCAGCCAGCTGAGCTTCTGGAGGAACATCTTGAGTGATTTGTGTGCCATTAAGATCTTCTGAACTTGTACCAGAATCTTTTCCCCCATTAGGAACATGATTTTCTCCATGAAGTGGAATGGAAGCTTTATCAGAAGAACTTTGCAAAGTGGCTGGGCTGCAAGATTTTGAATTACAATCCACACGTTTCTTTGACAGCTTCTCAAGGTCCGCATCAATAGCAAAACTGAAGAATATGTTGTTGTGAACGTACCTATCACCAAAATTTTACACCAATAAGCCAAAAGGCATTCAAAATAGAATGGAAAAAGCCTTGTGGGTAAAGGGCCACTATCACAGTTGAAAATAAGTATATGATCCATGACGACAACAATCTATACCAGATTAATAAGCATTGCATCATATACCAATATGAGACAGCAACATCATGAAAGCATGAACATGCTTTTCACAAGTAAAAAATTTAACCAGGGAATAAATATATCTTCTGCTCTCTCCCTCCCAACCCCGTGCAACTTCAGCTAGACATTACATTACAATATCTTAAAATAATAAAATATTAGAAATACAGGAATAACTTCTGTTAATAAGGTTAGATACACTTACATGTGAAAGCATTCGGGGTCAGTTGGATTTATTGGAGGAATGCAGCCACTGATCACTCCAATAGCGCCATTAATAGCTGCATCAACAAAGTCTGATGTCACTTTATAAAGTGCCCTATCCCGCAAAATCCTACACCAATTAACATATAACACATGAAAAATAGATAATCAATATAATATGTCATCACCAACCAACCAAACTAAAGAACAGGACCAATTCCAAAGCCATTTATATGAATGATAGAAAATAAAGGCACCTCTCCTGTGGAGTTGTATGAGGAAATTCTCTACAGGACTGCAGCTCTTCATTCCAGTCTCTTTGCATGCCAATTGGCTCATTGCCATATAGAAGAGTCAAAGCATTCTCAGCCCTGGCTGCATCACGCCTGTGGTCTGCTAACACACCAAAACACATTAACAATACATCAATGCAGTCTGAGATTCATATACTAAGAACCTGATCACAAGGTTCTCCTATAATATCATGACTTTTTAAAATTGGGTTCCAAGTGGGATATATATATAACAACAAACAAACATAATAAAAGCCTTCTTTATCTAGATAGCAACAGCTGCACAGGACAATCAACTTCATTATGTTCTATCAAAGACAACATCTACAGAAGTCCTATTTAGATTAATTCCTTGATAATAATTTAACTTTTTTGGTCTTCCTCTAACCTTCACTTTTTGCTAATACAACTTTTTCTTTTGACAAATTCATTTCTGATCATCTATTCTTGTATGCTCACTCATTAATGACATTCTCATCTCTGCAACACTTAGCTTATGCTCTTGCTTGCATTAATATCACGCTAGCTCAAAGCTACTAGGATAGAATAAAAGCTCAAAAAACTTGATTGCATCTGTTATTCTCTTTTGATCATTGTTATAATCTGTAACAAAATACTTCTCAAAATCTATTCATCAAGCAAATAAGTGATGATAAAATCATGTGCCACAACTGGCTGAATAATTTGCTTGCTATTGATATAGTAAATGATAACAGAAATGCATTAAAACTACCCAGCTAGATGTGTTAAAAGAAAGATGCTCAATAACAATGTGCAAAACAAATAAGAAAACTATATCACCTATAACTAGTAAAAGCAATACTATCATCAAAACAGATAAAGAAAATACAACATAAATAATAGAAAACAAGTGCTGACGAAAGAAAATGCCAGAGGCTAAGCTCACCAGGAACAGGGTATAACCCAAGCCAAGAATTAGGTGGCAACAAAGATTGCACATTTTCAAAAGGATGGGCAGCAGCTCTACCCTCCAATACTTCACGGAAAGCTTCAAAATTGGACAAAAGGTAATAAGTTTTGGGATTTGAAGCAAACTTCTCAGAAATTTAACTTTCTAAACAATAACTTATAACACTTCATTACCTTTTTTGAACTTGGGGCTAATCTTCTGTAAGAGAGCAACAAGAGTCGTTGCTTCAAAAGTAGCTTTACTTGGCCTTGGGTCAAGAGTGTTTGCTGAGCTTGAGTTGACATAGAACATTTTTGTACTTCCCGTAATACAAAATTTATTACCCTCAAGAGTGGTAACATCCAAATAAATCAAATCTCCAAGAAGCCTACAGGCAACCACAGAACAGCCTCATGCATAAAAACTTAGCAAGGCAATGAAATTACATTAACTGAGGAGGATGCATCTCAGGATACCTTCTATAGCTTGGTGGAGGATTGAAGGATGAAAACACTATGCTCTCTACACATTTAATATCCTTCAATGGGGACGATAATAAATTACCCAATGAACCAGAGATGTCCTCCATATAACCAAGCCCGTCGAGCTCAGGAACTTCATGTTTCAAGGTATCTAATATTCCATGAAATGCAGAAGCACTCTAGTTACTATCCCAAACCTCCTGAATTATAACAAATCAACATATTATAGCAACAGAATAGTCCAATACCTCCTGAATTTGCAGCTTTATTTTGTGCTATCTCATTCTGCAAGGCAAGTGATGTTGATAGTGAAGCATGGAGATTAGAAAGGGAAAGCAACTCCCTTGTTCGGTGAACATGGGCCCTTATAGATCGATCATCATAAAAAGCTGCAAAGAGGATTTATCATAGTGTAATCCACCAATGTTTAATCATCATAATACTCAAGTTCATTAACATACCAGGAACCATTTCCAAGGAACAACCACCAGTAGTAATATCAGCTACTTCGGAAATTTCATTATAATCTTCCAGGTGATGAGTGGATGCATCCTTCGTATGCAACAGTAAATCATAGCATGTGATAAAACACGTCTCAGGCGCATCAAGGAGGAACTGTCTAACATCCATGACAGAGTCTCCAGGATTCAACTGTGAATCAATTATAAAAGTTAGAAGAAACTTGATTCCTCAATTTTTCCTCAGGTGATATAGTAGCATATGTAAATATGTATGATAAATAGTTAAATGTGCAAAAAAATTTACATCAATAAGAATGATTGGAAACAGTTAGATCTCTGCCATGATAATCTTGGAACGATTTGATTCCTCAGTTTCACTTAATACGAAGTGATATAGTAACAGGCAAAAGCTTCACAAATGAAGTTAACTCACCTGAAGCTCAAGCTTCTCCCCAGTTTGTGTTTTAACAGAAACAGGGTAAAGCTGAAGATCACCTGCACAATCATTTTACAAAATATTGGTCATAAAATTAAGTTGAAGTCTTGGTATATCCATTACCAAAAGAAATGAAAAAATTTACTATATTACCAATTTTTTATTAGAAGACTAAACAACTTCAATTGGACAGCAAGAATTATCAAGCATAAAGCATAGCACAAAACATGATAAAACTTGCACAATCACCTAATCATTGGTAAAATAAAGGATCACATACTCACATATATGTTGCAAAAGCATATATTCCCATGTAAAAACAAATCAAATTGCAAAATATCACATTATTTATAGATAAGCTTCATAATTTTAAATTTTAAACCACAGGAAGAAAAATATTTAGTAACAAGAGAGCGATGGAAAAGAACAAAATAGGACAATTAAAAAAATAGAAATTAAAAAATAAACAAAAATAGTAGTAACCAGAAACACAGAACACAATGAAACATAAACAAAAATAGACTAGTGCACAGAACACCCTTGTAAGCAATGCTTTGTAAAAGCAATTTAGGTCGCTGAGCAGGTATTGGGTCACCAATGGACCTAAAGGGGCCTAATATGTACAACTATTAAGATTAAGCTGGATATAGTGAGATAAAATAGGACTTTTAACAATAGGGCCTAATGTGTAAATCTTGTTATAGATTAAGCTGGGCCTCAGAATTCAATTTTGGGACTTTCTAACTAACACTCAAATCATGATTTTAAATTGCAATTGTCGTAAAATAAGGTTATCAGTAGCAGATGGAATGATAGCCTATTGCGTAAGCCATGGTAAACAAAAAAGAACAATATATGGGCGTGTGTGTATGTAAAAACTAAAAAACAGCATAAATAAATTTAAAAATATAATCATAGGATAAAATTCAAGAAAGTATAACAGAACTCAAACGAATTTGGTTTTGGGTGTTTGACACTGTCTATTAGTAAAAAAAATTGGGGGAAACATTATGGGTTGAATAAAAAAACATGAAACAACATGATTCTGAAATTCTATAGAAAACCTACCTTCTGAAATTTTGAAAAAGCAAGAGAACAGAAACATTTAATAGATGAAGAACAAGAACAGCCACATAGAGAATCAGAAGAGATTAAAGAACATTAAGAAGACCACAAGAAATAAATAATAGACAAAGAATAGGCAGAGAAAAATAAAGGATTGGAAGGAGGAAGGGGAAAAAACAAAAGGAAACAACCGTTACAGATAGATGTATAATTTTAAAGTATACAAAGTAACGTGTAAAGAGGTTTTATAAAATGAGAGGAGTTCCACCATGTGTGCCACGGCATGTGGCATGGCGGGCGGGGGATAGCACCATACAACAGCAAATAACAGATGGCATGTGGCAGAGGTCCAAAATTATAGCTGCCTTATTGGTTACCAACATGGAAATTTAATTTAAACCTTGTTATGATAACCAAAATATAACACAAATGCCATTACAACTGAGGTCACACATGGTCAGCCACAATTGTGCTTGATAACCAAAATCATTTGCGCTTGATAACCAAAATCATTCTCAGGTATGAACTTAACATAGGTACGTATTTCCAACAAAGAAACGAAAAGCTGGGTTCCAACTATATTTACAACCATCTATAGTTATGATATTTTAATTCACCAGTTATTTAAATTCGGCTATAGTTAATCTAATGCTCTGACATTTTTTTCTTTAATGCAATTTTGTGGTTATATTCTCTATTTCCTAATATTGGGTAACGTAAAAGAGAGGATTTTGCATCCATATACAATACTATTAATATATAAATAGTTCTCTAACCCATTTCACCTTGCTTTTGTTGGCTCCCTTCAGTCACAGTTTCATGCTCCTTGAGTTCTGGATTGGCACCAGTCGAATCAACTGTTGATGGAACTTCCGCTAAATCAGCTTTTGCGGATTCTAAAGTGCCTTCCCCATTATCCTTCACAGGAACATCAGAATGGACAGCCGATTCTGACGTAATGGATGCATTATGGGACCCTTTTTTGTTCCTCCCTTTGTTGCTTGATTTTCCAGCCATTTTCTCTATCTAGAACCCAAAGAACCATGTCAAAGTACCACAAAAGGAACAATAATAAAGGGTGTACAGTAAAGGTTTTTGTTAGACGTCAGACCATGCAAACAATAATCACCCATCCCACAAAATAACCATTTACCTAAAATTCAAAAGCACGCGAACCACCGTGTATAAAAACTTCAAAATCAGCCACTGAAACATGGTAAACGTGCAACTAATGCCATAATCTCTCAAAATATTTAAAACAGAATTTCTAAAAACGTTCAAAGTCCCAACAAAACACAAAACATAAAGGTCTCAACTTTTGAACACAAACAAAATTACATTTCAACCACTTCGATGTCTAATAGTTTATTCCCACAAGCAATCACATGCAAAAAAACATACAAATATGCATTCAGACTACTATAACGACGAAGACTACAACATTCTTTATTTCTTCAATTCCGAAAAGACATATATAACAATTCATCTAAAACCCATATTCATCAAATTAGATACTCTTCTTTTCATCTTATTTTTGTCACGAATGAAAAAAAAAATATCATGAGAGTAGATGTGTTACCAACAACGAAACAAACAATTGAAGACGAAGTGCAAATTAGATAAGAAGATGCATAGAAATGAGGAAGAAAAAGGGTTTTATGGGGGTTTGAAGAGGGAAGGTTTTGAGATTTCAGGGAGAAGGGAGAAACCCAAGAAGCAGTGGCTGAGGCGGCTTCTGATACACGAACTAAAACGGAATGTAATAATTTTGTACTATTGGGCTTGGGCCTTCATTTTTATATTTCTTCTCAAATTTTATAAAAATAAAAATATAAAAAACATTTTTAATACTTGTTGTTACATTAATTTTATGGAATGAATAAAATTTTATATTGTATTGAATGCAATTAAAAAACAAAAAAAACATTATAGATTTCAAATAACAAAAAAATGAATTAATATGTTTTTTTAGCCCTCTTCTCCTCTACCCAAATTCTAATGTTTATTAAAAATAAAATTATTTTAAATATTATAAAAATTAAATATTAAGAAATAAGAAAAATAATAAATAGATCATAGAAATTACATTTACGATTAAAATATAGATAATATGATATATATATATATATATATATATAATGATAATTATTGATATGAATTGAGAAAATTATATATTAATTTTTAAGTTGTTATTATTAATTATAATTAATTTAATGTTAAATATGTTAATTAAGATAATAAATAATATTTTTAATAAGATAAATATATTATTTTTGGTATATAATTTAATTAAATAATATATTTATTGTTTTTAATAAGATAATCCTGTATAAATATTTTAATATATTATAAAAATAATTTATTGTTTTTTTAAATAATCGTTACTTTTCCTTTACAAAATAATATTAATTAGGTATACTTTTAGTTTAGGTTAAACTAACATGTTAATGGTTGAAAAAAAAATATATTACAAAACAATTAAAATAAGCAAAAGAGTAATTAGTATTTTTTAAAGATTTGTTAAAAACATTTGATAAACATACCATGAGAGATATTTTTATAAGTTTGTTAAGAAGGTTTAAATAAGTGTTTACACGCAATGGATAACATAAACAAACACTCGTTGTAAAAGAAAAATTACATTTAAATAGGTTTGCAATAACTCTTAAATGTTCCACTATAATACAAAGTTATAAATAAGTATTATTTATATTATGAATATAAAAATTAATCTCATCAAAATATAAGTTAATTTATGTAAAAAAGGAATGTGATTTTAATTTAGATATGATATTTTTAATTTTGTTTTGCTTTTAATACATCGTAGACTACTACTAAAATATATATATATATATATATATATATATATATATATATATTATTTTTTTTGTTTATAAAAATATCTTTAAGTTATTAATTATTGATTTGTATTTTTTATTTTGATAAATTGATAAAATAATTATATTTACGTATTAAAATACTTAATTATAATTAATAATATAAACTTAATTTTTAATATTTATAATTTAAATTATAAATTATAATATAATTGTAGATTCAACCAATGTAATAAAAAATATTTAAATTTATATTTTTTAATTTAATATTAATATATAAATATTTTAATAGAAACGAGTGAATTTCAATTTTTTTACTCAAGTTAAAAGTTAATTGAGATGAATCAAAGTGGTGAATTAAAATTACTAACTTGATATAAAAGGGATTTTATTCTCATTTCAACTCAAATTTAAATAAATTTAATTTTAATCCATATTTAATTAACTCAATGAATTTAGGTTACATTAATCTAAAATTTTAAAAGTTAACAATTTTATAAAATAATTATTACTTTTAAAATAAAATGATAAATATAAATAGGTGATATTTGTGTTCTTATACAAGTTGATTTATCTATGAGTCTTACTAATAAATAAATCTTACACAGACGCGGCTGCAACACAATGTTCGCGCCGCTTTCGGTCTTGGAATCGTCACTTGAGGTGGACCACCCGGTTCTCTTCCCCAAACCTCTGACTTCACCGGCCGCAGCTCACAGTTCGTGACACGCGTAGCTGCAGATGCCATAGAAAGAGAAATAAGAGAGTGAGGGATTTTGCAGAGTTGAAGAAATTGAAAGAGTGAGAAAGCAAACGAAGTATTGAAGACCGATTTGAGGTGAGGTAACAGGTAAATTAGACGTTTATATTTTTAGGGTTTGGGATGGGAGGTGTAGGTGGAGGGCAGTCCGTTGAGCTACAGCATGGGACGCAAAAGGTGGGATTTGAGGGTTATTTGGGGCCTCTCCTAAGCTACTCGACATCATACATTTTTTTCACGAATATTTCATAGCTACATGATATCAGCGCTCTATGACAAATTTTCCGGTGGTGGATGTGTTTTTACCCATGAAACTTGATAAGGTAGGTCAGAGAGAGATTTATGTTTGTCTGCTTCGCATATATGTATGTAATACGGAGACATTAGATCGAAGTTTGGGATCAAGTGTGATTAGTATAAAATGACTAAAAGTGCATTTGAGCCATTATGTCAGGGGTCTTGTGGTCTTGTGTTAGGCAATCAAGTGTGGGTAGTACTTCATACACAGATGCTCTACGAGGTTCTCAGCTACGTTGGTGGAGGAAAGTTCGACGTTTGATAAGGTTGAGGGAAAGCTGTCAGAACAATCTTGGTATACTTTACTTTACTATGCAGTGGAGGAGTCGTTTATTGAGAAATGTTCTCAGACTCTCGTTGGCTGCCTCCATCCCAGACGATGGGAGATAATAAAGTCTTGATTGAGTAGGATGCTGGGGTGAATATGAAGCTTTGAGAGTGTTGGTTTTACGAAGTTAGTTGTTGGCATCCAAGGACATGGGTGTGTTTATCGAGAAACTTGGGATCGCTGTTATGGGGTATCGTTACATGCGTGGTTTGAGACGTTTTTTAAGAAGATGATGTCATACTTGGGGGACTTTATTCAGGTGGATGAGACTACAATGCGGAGGATGAGATTGAATTATGGACGTGTTCAATTGCGTACATCGACATTGATAAGTGAGGGGACTAAAGTACTTATTAATGATTTATGTTTTTCGATACGTATGATGGAGGAGCATGGTGGACAATTCCATGTGGTTATGGCTGATGATGCATCTTCGAATGACTCTGATTATATGGAAGGTGCGTCTCTTGACTTGCATGAGGTCGAACATTATTCGTCAGAGGAAGAAAAGCGCATTCGAGATGGAGTGACTGGTGTATGGTCTGGGACGGTGGTTGGCACGCCTACTGTGGGAGTTGTTATGGAGGAGCAATTGTTTCCTAATGATAAGGGAGTGGGTTGCGGAGACGATGGTTGAAGGAATCCTGGAAGTGTTACCTTTAGCGAGACTACATGATTCAAAATTGGAGGCGATGAGGGAGGGGGAGTTGTTAGTAAGTGAGGTTGTTGGAAAACTAATAATTATAATCCTGTTTTTGATTCTAACTATCAAACATAAATGTAATCCCATACTGATAAACATGTTGTAAACTGAATGCGAAAGCATACCTGAATTAATCATAATGATGATGTCTTTGTAGAGCATTATATTGATCTTATGGTCTTCCACCTGAAGAGCACATGTATTTCCTTCTTGATTTTCTCTCTTGACGGGGATAGAAAGAAAGGAACGAGAGTAAAACTTATGTTTTGTCTACGTGCTCCAGAAGGGGACCATGACCCCTTAAAATAACCAGAATTAGATTAATTACTTAAATTTTAGTATTTCTAATTTGGTCTCTCGTCAAATTAGAAATTGTTTTATGGTTTCTATAAAATTTTATTTTCATGACATATGCATTTAGCCAAACTTTTTAATTTAGTCAGATCACTTTATTATTTGATTTAATAAATAATGATCCTAACACATTTAAATTATGTATCATATATATACATGACCCAAATTTTGCTAACAAGGTTTCTATGGCGAGAGGATCTGGAGAGGAGGGTGGTGTTGTTAGCATTGGGCAGGGGTGTGATTCGGAAGAAGTGCAGGATGGTGCTGGCCGAATGCATGTGTCGACTGGAGATGTTGGACAAGGTGGTGTGGTGGAGAGTATGAGTGGTGTACAACCTAAGGGGGTGAGTACGCAGGAGCTGCCGTGTCACGTGGGTGAGGTAGATGGGTTTGGTAGTGATCTGTTCGGGTTGGATCAATTTTTTTTGTCAAAGCATGCTCAGGAAGTATCAAGGGTGGCACATGACACTGGTGTTCTTGTGGTCTCCCTTCCAGCCAAATTGGGAGTTTTCGTCGTGCGATCTAATGTGCGACACATATTACGAAAAGCTCATCATAAGAATCTCAGGTGCCAAAAGAGTGGCATTGGCACGTCGATGGTGGATGAGGTCTAATCGATGGTGTCAGATCATGTTGCGTCGGATAATGAGATTAACGTGTCTTCGGAGGTTGACTTTCTAGGTGCGAATGATGAGGTGGTGGCAGATAAGGTGATAGAATTGTTTCGTTCAATGGGGATTGTGGTGCGAGATAATGAATCCGAAGTGAGGGAGAAATTAGTGGTTATGGAGATTTGTGACAAAAAATTGGTAGAGAAAAAGAGGGGAGAGTTTGTTCATCCATGGAGATAGCTTTTTTCAATTGTAGGGGTCTGGGGTCAGAGGTTAAACGTTGTCGTGTTTCCGAGCTGATTAGATGTGAACATGTGAATTTTATTGCGTTATAGGAGTCGAAGATGGAGGGTTGTGACCGCCAATTGTACTCGCAGCTTTGGGGTTCGTCTGGATTTGATTGACTGAGTTGTCCTTCTCAGGGGCATAGTGGTAGACTTATTTCGATTTGGGACTCGACTCAAGGTACTTTACAGTTCTCTTTTTCTGGTTTGGGTTTCTTAGGTGTTTGTTTGAGCTGGGGAACTGGTGGTGTTCGGTGCATTGTGGTCAATGTGTACTCTCCATGTCGCTTGTTGGATAAGAGAAAGTTATGGACTGATATTGTTATGTCAATTCAAGGCTTTGGTGACGTTCTGTGTCTGTGTGCCAGAAGTCTGAGAGGAAAGGAGGGGTGGGTGTGGTTAGTGTATCTGATATGCTTGAGTTTAATAGTTTCATTGCTGAGATGAGTCTGGTAGATTTGCCATTAGTGGGAACGCGATTTACATGGTTCCGAGGGGATGGGTTGCTTATGAGCCGGCTGGACAGGATGTTGGTATCGAAGGGATGACCCAACACTTGGAGTGATTGTTATGTATCTGTCTTTCCTTGGGATGTCTCTGACCATTGCCCGCTTGTGTTGAATTATAGGGTGCTTAATTGGGGTCCAAAGTCGTTCCGGTTTAACAACTATTGGTTGGATCATCCTGGATTGGAGTCAGTGGTTTGTTAGGCTTGGGATGATGTTGTTGAAAAACCTTGGGCAGCTCAACGTGTGCGGGTCTGTATGGGTAAGTGGAATGTTGAGGTATTCGGTAATCTTGACAATACTATTTCTTCTGTTACTATTGAGTTGTAGACTCTAGATGATAAGAATGAGGTGTAGGATCTCAGTTTGGTGGAGTTACTACGGCAAAAGGAGGTCTTATTTGAGTTATGGTGTGTGCGGAGGAGGAAACAGGGTTTGATTGCCCAAAAGGCGAGGGTGAGTTGGGCTAAGTATGGTGACTTAAATTCAAAGTACTTTCATGCTTGTCTCCGGGGGCGACGATGCTGCAATCAAATATATGTTTTGTTTGTTGATGAGCGGTTGGTTGAGGATATTCAGGGTATTCGAGGGGTGGTGGTGGATTATTTCTCTGATCACTTTTCAGGCAGTTTGTGGTATAGGCCTAGACTGGATTTTATGGGTGTATTAGACATTTCTTCTTAGCAGAATTTGACATTTGTGGCGTCATTTTTAGAGGAGGAGGTAAGTGATATGTTGGTAGAGTGTGATGGGGATAAGAGTTCGGGTCTCGATGAGTTTAATTTTGCCTTTGTTAAAAAATTTTGTCGGTTGATGCGTACTGAGGTGTTGGAGGTTTTGACTGACTTTTATAATAATTTTATGATTTTTAAGGCTCTATTGTTTTATTTGTGGCAATGGTTCCTAAAATCTCCTGTCCTCAGCAGATGTTTGGTTTTCGGCCTATTTCCCTTCTTGGATGCCTGTACAAAATATTGTCGAAGGTGTTGGCGAATTGATTGCGTGATGTGCTCTCTTCGATTATTTTGCACCATTAGTCAGCTTTTGTTCTAGGTCGTAGCATGCTTTATAGTTTTTTGGTTGCAAATGAGGCGATTGATTTTGTGAAACGTTATAAGAAGAGTATCTTTGTGCTTAAAATTGACTATGAGAAGGCATATGATTCGATTGAATGAGACTATTTGTTATATATGTTGCATGGTTTTGGTTTTGATGAGAGGTGGGTTAGATGGATGGAGGGGTGTGTTTGTCGAGGTAGCTTGTTGACGCTGGTGAATGGTAGTCCTACTTCAGAGGTTAGTATTGGGAGGGGCTTGAAACAGGGGGACCCGCTAGCTCCATTCTTATTCTTAATTGCAGCTGAGGGACTGCGGTTGATGATGGATAGGGCGCTGGAGGGGGGTTGTTTACTGGTTTGCAGGTTGGGGTAGGGGGGGCCTGTTGTGTCTCTCCTGCAGTTTGTAGATGATACTTTGATTATTGGGGAAACTTCTGCACGTAGTATGTGGATAATTAAGGCATGGTTAAGAGAGTTTGAACTTATATCAGACATGTTTATTAATTTCCATAAAAGTTGTGTGGTGGGAGTGAATACTGACAATGACTTTCTGGAACTAACAGCAAACTTTCTTCATTGTCGTAGGGGTCACCTGTCTTTTAAATATTTGGGGTTTTCCCTTGGAGCGAATCCTAGATTGCGGGCTACCTGGCAGCTTGTCTTGGATAGTATGCGACGTCGGCTTTCATCTTGGAAGTACAAGTATGTTTCAATTGCTGGTCGTGTTACTCTTATTAACTCGGTGCTAAATTCTATTCCTATCAATTTCCTCTCATTTTTCAAAGTCCCTAACTCTGTGGTGAAGGATATTATCACTATTCAGAGGAATTTTTTGTGAAATGGGGTTA